TCTACTCGTATGAAAACATGTGAACAGGTAGATAACTCTCGAGGGAGAGCGACCTGTCGATGTTGTATTCGAGTTGACACCGGAGACAGCGTTCGCATAAATGCAGACGGTCGATGGACGTAGTCTGATTTACCGAAATCATTACTGCTCCGTGGTGTGAAGAATCCCCCAGGCAGACGCAATGTCGTGCCGTATACAAGTTCAGCGGCGGAACATTGGATATCTGCCTTCAAACTCGTTCTGATGCCTAAAAGAACGAGCGGTAAGGTTTCGTACCAATTGTCGTTTTCGTGTGCTCGAAGAGCACTTTTAAGTTGGCGATGAAACAGTTCAACTAAAACATTTGGTGCTGGGTGGTAATCGGTAGTGCGTATGCGTTCCGTACCAAGCAGCCTGGTCAGTGAGGAGAATAATGCGGACTCAAATTGTTGTCCTCGGTCAGTCGTGACAGTCGAGGGACAACCGTACAATGCTATCCATCGTTCTACCAAGCGGTGAGCAACTGTCTCCGCCGTGATAGACGTGATGGGAATAGCTTCGGGCCATCTTGTAAAATGGTCAATGCACGTGAGTATGTGATCATACACATGCGATGGTGGCAATGGTCCTACAATGTCTATACGAACGTGATCAAAGCGAGCATCAGGCGTAGCGAACGTGCCAATGGGGGCAGCTACGTGCCTGTGCACTTTTGATCGTTGACACTGTAAGCATTGCTTTACCCACATACGAACATCTTTATTCATGGACGGCCAGACGTATCGTGCAGCGATGAGGCGTAATGTGGCTGCGATACCTGGATGAGACAATCCATGAAGGGCATCGAAGAAGAGACGGCGATAGGCAGAGGGTACGATGGATCGAGGAAGACCGGTAGAAGTATCACATAGGATAGTATCTGAGCTAGTAGCTAGGGGTACTTCCTGAGACTGAAGGGACGAAGATTGTGGTGCTTCTGTACAGACAGGATCGTTTGCTTGCGCGGCGGCCATAGCAGGAAGATCGAGCACCGGTAAGGTAACTGCATTCGTCTGGATACGTGATAGAGCATCGGCAACATAGTTCGACTTGGCTTTAATGTGACGAAGGTCTGTCGTGAACTGGGAGATATAGTCCAAATGTCTGCACTCTCGTGGTGAGTAGCGGTCAGGCTTGGTATGCAGGGCATACGTTAAGGGCTTATGGTCGGTGAATAAAATGAATTGGCGTCCTTCTACTGCGTGCCGGAAATGTTTGATGGCGCAGTAGGCTGCAAGCAGCTCGCGACCAAAAGCGCTATATCTCGTCTCCGTGGGAGTAAGGCGTCGTGAGAAAAATTCAAGGGGTTGCCAACTACCGGAGATATTCTGTTGCATAACGGCTCCTATAGCGAAATCTGGTGCATCAACCGCTATACTAAGCGTGGCTGATGGGTCAGGATGAGCGAGGAGTGTAACTTCAGCGAGAGCCGTTTTGATCTCTGAGAATGCAGTACGTGCGGTATCGTTCAATTCCAATTTGCGTGGATTACCGCGTAGTAAATCGGTTAATGGTCGTAACCGTTCTGCCGCGTGAGGGATGAAACGTCGGTAGAAGTTAACCAAACCGAGAAAAGCCTTCAGTTCCTTGATTGAGGACGGCACGTTGTACTACTTGATTGCTCCAACTTTGTCCTCGCAAGGCAGAATACCCTCTTGTTTGATGATGTGACCCAGAAATATTATTTCTGATTTACCCAATTCACATTTTTCTGGGTTGACTACTATTCCATTATCCGAAAGGCGTTGGAATAATAGCGTAAGGTGTTGATAATGTTCATCTACGTTTGATGATGCGATCAGCAGATCATCAATATAGACGTGAACAAAATCCAAGTCTCGTACTATGCTATCGATAAACCTTTGGAAAGTTTGAGCAGCATTCCGTAATCCAAATGGCATTCGTAGGAACTCAAACAGACCGAAAGGAGTCGTGATAGCAGTCTTTTCGATGTCTTCAAGAGCGACTGGAATCTGGTGATATGCTCGTACCAGATCGATTTTAGAAAAGATAGTCGTGCCCTTGAGCGATGCCGTGATGTCGTGTATGTGGGGGATGGGGTAGCTATCAAAGCGCGTAACTACGTTTAATGCTCGGTAGTCGCCGCATGGTCTCCAACTAACCCCATCCTTTTTGCGCACCATGTGTAAAGGAGAGACCCAAGGACTGTGAGAAGGACGAATAATACCAGCAGATAGTAAATTGTCAAACTCACGTTTAGCGAAAGCTAATTTGTCCGGTGCCAGTCGGCGTGGTCTTGCCGTGACTGGTGGTCCGCGGGTGACTATGTGGTGTACCACACGATTGGTCACCGATGAAATCTCCTCGAGTGGTTTAGTTATTCTGGGGAATTTCTCGAATAAGGCGTGGAATTTATCGTCACGCGAATAAAAAGTTCCGAGGATTCGGTATGCGTTTGTGTGAGCTTTAAAGCCCATGAATTTACTGTTCGACGAAGTATCGATTAGCTGCAGCCTACGTGAATCGACTAGCAATTCATAGTGCTGTAGGAAATCAATACCTAGTATGGCTGTGGGAACATCAGCAATGATGAACGTCCACAGATACCGTCGTCGGTTGCCCAGGTTGACCGCGAGTTGTCGTGCACCGTAGGTAGGAATGGCTGAGCCATTTGCAGCGAGTAGTCGAAGCATTGTAGCTTGTGACTTGATGATACCTCGTGGTACGACAGAAACTTGGGCACCTGTATCCACTAGGTACCTAGCGTTTGTGCGATAATCGTGCACGTAAAATAAACGGCCAACCTGGGGGGCAAGGCCGGCGAGTACGGCCGCTTTTACTCGCCGGCTTTGGAGTTTCCCGCCTTGTATGAGCACGGGGCTCGACAACGGCGGGCACCAGATCCGAAGGATCGATGAAACCAGCACCAACCTTCACTCACTTCCGAAGCCGCCTTTTGGCGTGGCTTGGAAGATGCCCTCGTTGGGCGAGTGTTGACGGCTTTTCGAGAGCGTGAGCGGACTCGAGGGACGTAGGGTTGGGGTACGTTACAACGGTCTCGAAAACTAAGACGTGTGTGAATACACCCTTCCCTGTCACCTTGAGCCGAGGAGTGGCTGCCGTCGATATCGACTTTCGGACGCAACGTTGAGGCAACTACGTAGTTGTCTCGGTTGCCAGTCCTAGCTAGAATTTTGTCTGCTGTGAGGGCTACCTGTTTCAGTGGTGCGTCCTCGAGCAGGGCCGCAACTGTAGGTTGGATAAATGCTGGTAGAGATTCGAGCCACAGTTCTTTAACGATTTCAGAATCGGCTGCCGTGGGTCCTGCAAGAGATTGCAGGCGCGTGAGGTGGTGGCTCGGTTTAGCATCACCCAGGGGGTGACGTGCTAATAACGTCCTCAATCGTTCCTCCCTCGATGGGAGGAAATGTCTGAGGATCGCCTCCTTGAGACGATCGTAAACATTGGGCACATTGGAATTGAGGACAACCTCACGGACAGCTACTAAATGGTCTCCCGGTAAACATTCGAGAGCGTAGGCGTACTTCTGCCGTTGGCTTGTAATATGACGGGTCTCAAATTGAGACTCTATAGCAGCAAACCAAACTTCGGGATCGTGAGGAATAAAAAATACAGGTCGAAAGTGTATAACCTGTACGTCAGAGTCTATTACGTTAATACTATTCTTATCGTTATCCGTCATGTCAAATATATATATTAAAAATTAATATGAAAATATATGACAGACGTGGATAGATAAGCGATAGACTCACCAAAATTGACTTCTTTGGAAGGTTTGGTTGCGATTGCCAAGTGGTCGTAGATGTAGGTTCACCAGTTGCAGAAGATTTGACCGAAGTTGAGGCGTGTTCCGAAATTTGGCTCACCAATGTTTAGCGTGGTGTCGAGTTGAGCTTGACTATGAACACCGCCACAAGACTATGTGCCAATAGACCAATAAGATTCCGGTAGGCCAAAAATCAGAAGGCAGATGATGGCTGTAGTCGAGATGTATTTGTTGGCGATCTCGTGGTATCGAAAGAATACCGAGATCGTGCCAAAGGAGTACAAGCGTGATTACTGAGCGTAACCGAATTCGTACAAGTTCAAAGTCAAAGGGAGAGAGAGTATAATGGCTGTCATTAGCACAGTTAAACAAACGAGCACAGTAAAACAGTCACTGGTACAATTGGTTATAATAATAATTGTTTCCATCGTACCAATCGCGTTCTGTTGACAAAAGTAGGTCACTACAAGACTTCAGTCTATCAAAATTTAGCTTTGAGAAATCCAGTAACAGGATTGATAAGTAATCCCCTCATCCTTTCTTTGCATGTCAGAATTAATCGTTCTTGCACAGTTCGACATGGTGGGAAGAAAAAATCCGAGTATGGACATTAAAGATCTATACGGTGAAGTTTTTTCCATTTCTCTCACAACCGCTTAAAATAACTGAACATAATGTAGCTTCTACGAGATACCCTCTTGAACTAAAATCCTTAGAATTCTTTTTATCAGAAATTAACGGTGGATTCACTGACTAGCTCTTTTCAAAGACGTTACATCTAGATGTTTGGTACGGACAGTGGTTTGTTTTCTAACATCAAATTCAAGGTTTCAGTAACCTATAAATTTCAACTGAGATCGGTCATTCATCCAATGGTGTTGTAGCAGCTGACAGTAAAATTCATGGTATGTTTAAGTTTCTCGGTGTTTATCCACTAGGAACAAATCACCACATTGATTTTAAAATCGTTTTTTGTGGATTCGAAAACAAAAAGTATGTCGTTTTTCGGCTTATTATTACTTCTAGTTAATAGCGAAGCAGCTTCCCTTTGTGATCACTTAGTAGAACTCTATTTATCAGGTTAGGTTATTTCTGGATCGATTGTATATTTTTTAGAGACCCTTACTCGATCTATTGCTATTGCCAAGCAAAACAAAAGAACATCAGTTTCTCCCGAAGATTTCGAGAATATCATTGTCCAAATTTTCCTAGATTTTTCTGCTTGATCTCTACAATGTCGTCGACAGAATTAAGAAATCTATTGTGTTTGGTGCTAGATATGACTCCCGCCTCATGGGGATCTTGTACAAGTGAATTTAATTTGCCAAATTGCATTGAGGCAGCCCTTGGTTTCGCAAATAGTCATTTAATGTTGTCTCCACATAATGAATTAGCAGTAATAGGAGTTACACCTTCTGAAATCAAGTTTATATATCCAAACGACTCGGACCCTCCAACTAGTGCTTCGAATGATGGCCAGAATGACGCACTTAGCTGTATGAATAACACTGTCAGGCAACTAGCATTAAACCTTGTGACCTCCTGTTCTTCTACAAGCACACAAATTGTTTTGGCTGGTGCGATAATAAAAGCATTGTGCTATTACCTTCGGCGCTGTCGTGAATTGCAGCCATCTACTAGACATTTAAATGATTCTTTGGAGATGACTATGGAGTTTAGCGAAGGGAGTGAAAAGATTTCTTCTCGGATACTGATTATTAAGGCGTCTGATGACAATTCTTCTCAATACTTGGCGTTGATGAATTCTGTGTTCACAGCTCAAAAGCTTCATGTTCCAATAGACACATGTGTGTTATCGTTACCGCAACAGTCAGATAATTTAAATAGCAGGTGTGGGCTAAGTCCTCTTGGACACTCAAGTCTTCTTCAACAAGCTGCAGATCTAACTGGTGGGATTTACTTGCAAGTACCAAGAGTTTCTGGATTACTACAGTATTTGTTATCAGTATTTTTGCCATCATCTAAAATGAGAACATCTCTTTTACTTCCAGATAGTCGATCCAGTGGTTTATCGTTTGGTGTTGACTTTCGAGCTGCATGCTTTTGTCATAAACGATTGATTGACATTGGTTATGTTTGTTCGATATGTTTGTCCGTATTTTGTGAGTTTAATCCGATATGCCCTACTTGTAATACTCCTTTTTTGTTACCAGCTGTACAAAACATGTAAATAAATACAAAACAAGACTTGTTCTTTTCTTCTTGACAATATATATTTACTTAAGATGCTTATTCGCATTATAGATGTCTGACGATCGTTCAATGAAAAAAGCTGAAAAACACAAGGTAACTAGTCTCAATATGTAGTGTTTGGTTATTTTTTACATTAAGCTATGTATTCATTATATGACTGGAACATCCAAACCTATCTTTAAGCAAATAATATCTGGTTCCAACCGTAGGTTCATATTCTACTTTCCATCTTCTGGTGACTAAACTACCATACATACGTGTGTTTATCCTCAAATACTTATAGAAACTGAGTCACCCTAATATTATCTAAGTCTATATCATACCGAAGTACGATGAGTTAGACGTCGGCTGAATTATTTATTGTTTGTCTACCGTCTATCATTTACTTGCACGAAGTATACATTTTCTAAATTTAATCCTCATCTAGAGTTTTATTCCTTCTTTGTTATTAACATGTTTAGTCGACCGAAGATGTATGGAGTTAAGTAAGATATGTATTCTGTTGTTATTGCTAGAAGTAATTAAAAAACCGTTAAAAGCTAAACAGAGAAAGGGAATCGGTTGATAAAGTCGTTGATTATTGGACTTATGTTGATAGCTGAGACCAATTGTTTGGGGGTCCTGGGGGGATTATGGTGACCAATAGTTGGAGACTTTTGTCAACAGTTGGAAGTCTGTTGCAGCGGCACAGGTCCATTGAATTTGTTTACCTTCTTAATCCTGAGTTTCTCGATATTATACTTCTCATCCCGTGAATTTACTCTTGAATTATATTCTATATCTAGTCTTTTACTGCCTCTGCTACTACTACTAGTAAGTTTTTTTCGCTGTACTGATGTGAATATCACCGTGGGTCGATGTTTACTTGACGCACATTCTCTTGTCACTTATAACTAACGGACGGACATTCGTTAGGTAAAACACATTCTAAATAAAACTATTCATTGCACAAAAAGATTTAAATGAGAAGTATGACATTCAATAGATTTTATCTTGTCTTTTGTTTACAGCTATCTGATCCACTTGACGATGTCGCTTGGAAAATTATGGTAAGTTCTGGCTGAACATGTACTTATTCGGGACTTTTTTGTCATCAGTCTTGAATGTCGAAGTGGCCTGTGGGCTACATAATGTTTCTTTAGAGAGTTACAGTATTGTTAGAATACTAGAAGTTATCTAGTGAAGTTTAGTGTTCAAGAAATATTTAACTTTCAAGCAATAGGTAATAGCTTCGAATCCCACTACTTTGCATGCTTTGATCTGATCAGTCGAGTGACGTCGTGAGCCTTAACATAGTGTTATTTATGCAGTTGATATGTCAATTCAAAATGACCTGATTGGTCAATGAGTAAAGAAATATCTAGTACATCGAATATCTCTATTGTAATATATGCCTCTACTTATTATACTTCCCCAAAAAATAACTTCTTTGGGCTCATATCTAGTTGATCAGGCTGTCTGGTTATTTAGCGCGTGTCCCATGTGAGGTTAAGCAACACTGACGCTTTGACAAGACTTTTCAAATTAGTGTAAGTGAGATTATATGCATGAAATAAAAGATTTGAAACATTATATATGTGTATACAAATGAAATAAAGATAGGTGACTGATTACTACTTATTCAAATATGATAATCCTCTAAATACAAGAGAGCATGCAATTAACTAGCCGGTTTTACGCTCTTACAACATTACGGTAAACGATAAGCTTAATAAATAGAAAATGATATTTAGAAGGGTTAAGTTTGAAATCAAATGAAATGTATGCTTATAATGATACTGTCGTTTGTCGTAAATTATTTGAAAAATCTGCTCATATACTCGCACTTAAATTACAGAAATAAATGCTCAACTTTCCTACTACAATTTCTCTTGTTTAAAATCTTTTTTCTTGGGTCACTAGCGAAAGATGGGTTATGAACATGGTCAAGGATTGGGTGTTAATGCTCATGGTGTAGTTGAACCGGTTGCATTGAGTAAACAAAAAGGCAGAAGTGGTCTCGGTTCAGTAAGAACAACATCGTCATCTGATAAAAAGATTGAATCATTCTCAGGTGAACTCTATCAATCTTCCAATCCAAATTTAGTTTGGCATGAAGGTTGTGATGATGATTATACTACAGCTGATGGAGATCGTACCTGGTCATGGTCAATGGAAGGCGAATGTTCTACTAATTCCTTATTGGAATTGAATTCTCTAATTATCAGTCCCGATGAACCGGAGGCTTTAGGTCCTCCTATTGAAGAGTTGGATAATGAAGATAAATTCTGCTCGATACATCTTGTTCAAGAAGTTTTAAATTATAAGGTTCGCTGACGTTTCTCAACTAGTTTACATAGTTACATATGTTTTCTAAAAAATAGTAGAATATTTGATTGTTAGTTTATTTTCGAGACATTTACACACAGTTTTAATCGTCCATTTAGTTTACCGTATGTCTAGTACTAGTATAAAACTAGGTTTTGAGAAAATTTGGGCCATTCAAACGGGAAAGTGGGATAAGTTCAAGAATATTCTGTCTCGCTTATTCCCGCGTTGATGTGTAGACCTTCTGATTGGCATAATCTCAATCGTAAACAATGATAATGTGGTTTAAAATTGATCCCGGGGGGTTCAAATGCATTTATTCTTTGTTCACTTCTGAATCTCGAGTTTCAATAGTAATACATTTTATTATCTGAGTTAATTTCTTCTGAGTGATTGCGTTACGACTCCCACTCTCTTGAATAGATATCGGTAACCGAACCCTGGTTAAGTTACTGGTGATATTTCAAAATTGAGTGAATTATCTTGTTCTTTTCTACGGATTTGAGTTGGTTAGCTTGTATTTGAAGTTTAACATCACGGACTGATTCCGTTTAAACAATCATTGAAAATAAAGAAGCTCTGACAACTGTCTAATTTCACTGTGGGATTACTTAGTAGTGAATGTTCATGGGTCCACCATTGAGGATATAGCTCAGAACCTTCAGGTTTAACTATGAGCACTTAACCTTTAGATTATTGAGTTGATATCCAGTGACCAACATGTCTAATTCCAAAATAACTCGTAATATTTCGCAACAGTCATCCATTGTCAGTGATGATACTTATCTCACCCCCGGCATAGTAGAACTCTACTAGTCACAACTTCTCACTATAACTCCGCGAATCACATTTCGAACTTAGTCATTGGTAAGCACATGTTAGTTATTATACAGTGTTGTTAAAATCGTATTCAAAATCCAGCAATTGACATTTGATTACATAAACTGTGTTTAATTTGGCTGCACATCTTTTTTCCTATTTTGTCTTTGTATTACATTTGAGATGATAATCTAATCATCTTTCTCATTCGTCGTCTTACTTGTGTTTAGAATCAGTTAGATTATTTATCAAAATTGAATGTCACTAAAAGTCATGAACGTTGTAATCCATATGAATTGATAAAGAAGGGGATTTTTATGAACAGGTAAATATAATAATGTATTAGTTTTTCTATTTGCTCTCTCATAATCAATATTATTATGATTTATTAGTTGACGGTTAATTGCTAAAAATCCTAGTGCAAAGATCCATAGTAAATATATAACTAATGGAGAGTGTGGAATAATGGTTCAGATCAAATGAGATGTGTAGACTGTACAGTGATTGAAATTAGTCGACACAATAATAAATCTAGGTTTCGTGCTAGTTTGCACCCATCAGCTAGGTGTACTTGCAATCGTAAGGGAACTGATATTCTTCCCTCTAGGATTCGAACCCACTGAGTTATTAACAAAAGGTAGTAAAAATGGTGGTTGATAAATATGAGAGATAATCATTCACTTGACAAAAATGGAAAAGTTGATGAAAAAAGACAAAACTTAGGAGTACTAGCTGGTTATTACTAGGTATAAAAAATTAAAATACCTCAATGATGGTTTTGATCGTTCAGATACGAAAAATTGGAACTCACTTAAGAACCATAGTAGTAAGATAACAGATTGAATATGAGACATTAGGACACATTGTTTAGACTCAGGTTGACGGTATGTTAACACATCTACATTGTAAAATGTTTTGATTCACTAGTTTTTTGGGTTTATTTATTTAACTATATGAGAATTTTCAAAAGACAATGTTGATGGGATAGCATGACTAGAATCAGTATTTTGAGTGGCTTGAATAGTTAGGTCAGTAAGACAATACCTGCAGGTATGTTTAAAATGGGGTCATTTGGCTTTTTTTTTGTTGTTGCTATGATCATAATATCTAATTGTTTGTAAAGTATGAAGCATATTGTATAACATTTAATTTTGTTCTTGAAGTATTCATGCAGAAACTAACAGTACAATCTATCTCAGTTTCTCAAAAGAGTTCCGATATAATAACAAGGCAGCTGAAGTAATTAACTTCTGATGACCTTCAAATTTTTCGATTGGTGGAAACAGAAATAGAACGCATGCATAATCAAAAATAAACCATTTTTTCAAAGTGTTTAAACACAAAAATATTGGTACAAAGATGCAACAAATACATATGCGACACACTTCGTCATTTGATTTGTGTGAGGGCTGGAATACTGCATGGGTTCCCAGACCGAAGCAGGTGTTCTTAAAAGAACACTCCCCGAGCTTCTGATCTAGGGGTCCAGTCCACAAGGCAGTGGAGCAATGTTAGAAGATGCAATCTCATGTTAGCCGGTGAATATCATTAGGTTCATACGGTATTTGTTTCCTTAGGATCCTTGAGTCCATGTGCACGATTTTTTTGAATTTAGGGTTTTTAAACTCCTTTAAACATATCCTCCGTATCCACCAACACCAACGTGGTTAGATCACCAGACATTCGCTTTCCGTCCTTTCAATTTCGTAAACAACACCCTCGCCTCGAGAAGTCAGTGAGTAGGACTTCGTTGTCAGCTGTTGTATACGCGTGTCCACGTGAGAGCATTTGGAGGAGATCTGACATTCCCCACCCTTAACTGTACCAGGGCGTTTGGGGGCCTAAGAATGTCTAGTCATTTATGTACATACTGCATTAGTTCTACGCCTTTCTATCGAATAATCCAAGCTGAACAGCAGAATGATGATGATAATCAACTGTCAAATATGAAATGACAATTGTTGACTTCATCAATATTTTTTTTACAGCATTAATACTACATATTATACTATTTTAAACTTGTGTTAATTTCATCTCATCATGTTGATATAGTGTGGCAACTTAGACGAACCCATATTTATGCCAAGCTTTACGTATTGATTATGACTAGTTAATCATCTCAATCATTTCAACACATTGATCTACCTCTCATAAATATTGATATCCAGTCCAACAGTACTGATATCTAATTGATTTGTAATGGTTTCTTCGTTTCTAATCCTAGCCACATTCCATCTATTCTGTAGTGGTATTTGATTGATTAAGCTTAGACAATTTTCATTGAATCATTTGCAATAATGAGAATTATTGAAATATTATGGAATTTGATCATTTAAAAGTTGAAGTAAAAAATGAATTATTTCAACTGTTCGGTTACAACGGAACAGGTATTCTCTCCTGTACTTAAGATTTAGGTATTATATACATTATTATTATTGTTATTATTATCACTATTATTAATCTTTTAGAGCTGCAATGAAAATGGCCAATATTGATTCAATCTTTAATGGAATGTTTACAACTGCTGCTCCGAAAGATGTAAGTGCATTTTGTTCAACTTCAACTGAGTTGTTTGATTTAAACGAACTAGTATTGTAATGTGCTTTAGGCTTATCTATATTCTGGTCCGCAAATACCCTGGTACGGCCGAGAGTGATGTGAGTCAGCTTTCCCTCTCGAAATGCCCTCACATGGCCACATACATACAACCACTGCCAGTGAAGTCCTACTCACTTCCTTCTCACGGCGGGGATGTTGTTTACGAAATTAAGAGGACAAAACGCGGGTTGGTGGATATGGAGGATCCACCTGTGGGAGTAGGAAAACCCTTATTCCAAACCAATGGTGCACATGGGCTCCAGGACCCTGAACGAACAAATAGCGTATGAACCAATTGTTGGCCATCAGCTACCATGGGCTTGCATCTCCTAATGTTGCCTTGTGGATTGGACCTTTAGATCAAAGGCTCGGGGTGTGACCCCCTAAGTAAACCACCTGCTTCGGTTTGGGCCCTTGGGCAGTATTCCAGCCCTCATCCAACTCGAATGATTTGTGTGGCACATATCTATTTGGTGCCTCCTTGCACTAATGTTTATGTGTTTAAATAATAATAAAATATCTATATTCTATATCAAAGTACATACTCGATGGAATTGTCAAAATCTTTTGATGTTTCATCTCGTCCCTTATATGAAGAGACGATCAAAGAAATTTGTCATTAAACTAATTGAAGTGGTTACTTTTTTCCACCAGACAGATCCCTAATATCTGACTTAATAGAAATGTTTAGGAACAAAAGAATAGCTAAACACTGTGGATATATAAATCACGAAATTAAATCTACTATACACATATGAAATACAATGAATGTGTGAAGTTATTTGTCGGCTAGCTGAAAATCAGATGAGGGTAAAATTGTAGATCATCAATATTTAACATATTAACTCGTAATATCCAGTACTGTTCAATAAATACTCTGGTAGTCTCAAATGGACCAGCGCTCAAATTAAGATAATTATGTTTTTCACTGGGATTTGGGGCGTATTAATAAACAAAGAGATTATTATCTAGCACACAGCTTATGCAAATGTTGGGCTTTATGTAACCACTGAAAAATTCCCATTATATTAAAACAAGAGATGTATGAAGAATACTCACTTCGATTATCTCAAATCTTCACAATTCACTTTTATAGTCAACAGGTTATCAAACACTTTGTCAGAACTATCTAGATTGATCAGTAGGAAAAGTTACACTTGAAGCATTCTTAAATTCTCTAGCCCCCAGGATAAATGGTCCGTAATCAGTAACCAAAAATTCACAGGTTATAATTTAACAGTTATCATCTCTGATCAGCAAGTTACAACATCCGAGAATAAGGAGTTTATGACCAGTCACATTCGAAATAAAAACTTTTTCAAACTTGAATATAGCATTGTAATCTAATAACTTCAACTTGTCGACTAAAATAATAGGTCTGGTACTCAGTGTTAACAATAGAACTGTGAAACGAACTGTCGAACAAACTATTCACATGATTTTTATAGTACTTTGAGAGTTCCATAATGGCTTATCTGGAAATGCCATATTCAAATTCCCCTCGGGATTTCATTTTTCTCTAACACACCCCAAATTTTAGTTAAAAATATAATATACTTACAAGTGTGTCCATTCTATTCTTCCTAATTTGAGTGCTGATCCATTGGTAAGTATCACAGAACGTGTTGAAAAGTACTGGAAAGTACGTGTCTGTGTTTGGAATCCAATCCTATTACTTATATTTGCTCTTTAAACATTTTTATCATACATGCTGAAGATAGTCTTTCAGTTGTTCTAAAAGAACATTACTCTAGTTAAAATCAGTAAAGTAGTTTTATAAGAATCTTTTCTCCATCTTATAGCTTTTCTATTTTTTATTCACTGAATACAGGAAAGTACACTTTTATCCTGACATAGTGCGTCTAATCTTTTTGCAAAAACACTTATCATAAACCGTATTTTCAACAACAACAAAAAACTCGTTGAATCAATGTAGAAACTGGCACGCTCTGTTCGCCCCCAAATGCCCTGGTATGGCCGAGAGTGGGGTGGGTTTGCCCTCCCTCTCGAAATACTCTCACACGGCCACGCGTATATAGCCTCTGCCAGGGAAGTCCTACTCACTGCCTTCTCCGGCTCTATAACCGGATCCCAAATCAATGGTGCACATGGGCTGGCTCCAGTATCCTGAAGGAACAAATGGCGTATGAACCAATCGTTGGTCACCGGCTACCGTGGGACTGCATCTCCTCACGATGCTCCACTGCCTTGTGGGTTAGACCTTTAGGTCGAAGGCTCGAGGTGTGGCCCCCTAAGAAAACCACCGGCTTTGGTTTGGGCACCCGTGCAGTATCACAGCCCACACACAAATATAATGAAAATGATGATCTCCGAAAACTCTGTTCGCTAACTACCATGTGCGACCAGTGTAGTAGTATAGAATTCGACTTTTTTGAGATGGTGAAGAATTGTACCTGTGGTGGATGATTTAGGTTTATTTTTTTCTCTGAGCTGGATGGTTTGGTCGTGGAGCTTCGTTCTTCTGAACGACATCATCAGCATTTTCATTTTATTTGTGTGTGGGCTGTGATACTGCCCGGGTGCCCAGACCGAATCAGGTGGTTTTCTCAGGGAATCACACCCCGAGCCTTTGACCTAAATTTCTGGTCCACAAGGCAGTGGAAAAACTTTAGAAATGCAGTCCCTTGGTAGCCGGTGGCCAACAATTGGTACATACGCCATTTGTTTCTTTAGGATGCTGGAGCCCATGTGCACCATTGGTTTGGAATCAAGGTTTTCCAGTTCCCCTAAGTGAACTCACTGGCCCGGTTAAAGCTCCGGACATCCGCTTTTCGTCCTCTCAATTTCGTAAATAACACACGTAGTGCGAGAAGGCAGTGAGTAGGACTTCCCTGGCAGAGGCTGTATGCGCGTAGTCGTGTGGAAGCATCTCGGCCGTACCAGGGCATTTGGGTGCATTTAGAATTCAGTAAGTTTCATAAAACGAACTATGATTCTGTTAGTATTGCACTTCTCCCTTCTAATTATCTTTAAATTGCATGTTAAACTGTGAATTATGAATTTTCTCTTATCGTTATACTTTCCATTTTACACAGGATATATTATATTTTGCTGATATATGTGCTGGTCCTGGAGGTTTCTCAGAATATACCTTATGGCGACGATGTAATGCTCCATATCATATTCACTCATCAAATGAATTGAAACGGCTTAACAATACACCCGGTCCTAATCATCATTCCAATATCAATGATAAACTAGTAGAAGATAATACTGAATCTGTCGATCATAACAGTCCTACTAATAATACTGGTACTGCTTCAGAGAAAAAACAACCATTACTGTCTGCTAAAGGATTTGGTTTAACATTAACCGGTCATTGTGATTTTCGTGAAAACGATTTCTTGGCTGGTCCAAAAGAAGCTTTTATGGCACATTATGGACCAGGACGTGATGGTGATGTTACAAAATGGTCGAATTTAGCCTCATTCGCATCATTTATTGGTCGTAGTACAAATAATGCTGGTGTACATATTCTAATGGCAGATGGAGTTAGTTCAATGATAAATTTTTTTGTGATGACGATAGTGTATTTCAAATCCTGCTCAAAAAATTTTCTTATATGTTTATTATCAGAAGGGGTTTTGTGGAGATTGTAGTAATTTCAATGGTTAAGATCATGAGTCAGTTGAAGCTAGACCACCATGGAAAACCTGGAAGCACTGGACGGCTGTTTCGTGGATTAGTTGAAGTTAGACATTAACACCGTTGGATGCCGGCTCAGTGGTCTAGTAGTTAGCTGCTCGTGCGCGAAACCAATAGGTCCTGGGTTCGAATCTCACAGAGGGCGAGGTCGTGGATGCGCACTGCTGAGGAGTCCCATAATAGGACGAAACGACCGTCCAGTGCTCCCAGGTTTTCCATGGTGGTCTGGCTTCAACTGACTCATGATCTTAACCATTGAACTTTATATGTTTATCTGTTTACTACCTAACTTTTTTGTTTGACACTGGAATTTTCTCAAGAGAGAATGTTTCAGACTTGTTGTATGGGATTTACTACATTTTAGAAAGTTTGTATGATTTATCTCTCACAGTAATTAACAGAATCTAAGATTATAGTCTTACTCACGAAACCATTAGTCAACATTCCAGTTTATGATTACATGTGGAGTTATTTTTTTAGTGAAGGCTTCCAATCAGTAGTCGTAGGTTGTAGGTTCGAGCCCCCATTTCGATTTAGTTATGAATGTAATACAACTAGCCTTCAAATAGGGATGGGTAATTTAAGGCTGAGTTCATGAAATTATACTTGGCAAATAAGTTAGTTCTTTTAATTATTATGTAATTTATTCTGTGTGACTTTATTTTATATTTCAAATGACCAGTCAGTCACAACGGAGAACCTGTACGTATGTATATCGGTTCAAGTTATCATACTCCATTAGCACAAAGAAATGAAGTTGTCAGACAAAATCCCACAATAGTAGAGGTAATAACAGGTATCACTGTTAATAGGACAGATTACGCATCGAAGATACGAAGATGCTCTATTGCCTAATTTTGTGTGAATACAGTTATTGTCACATTGGAATTGCAGATATTTGTCTTATGTAATCTGGATATTTGCTTTCAAATCCCAATTTATTAGACAAAACATAGCAGTAACTAAATGCACAGTGAAGTAGATTATATAAATCATTCTGTTTTAAGCGTACTCCAAATATTAACCGGATTGGTTCGTTGTTTCTAACTTTGTTTTTTATGTAGTTGTTATAATTCTCTCTTATTACAACCCAGCTATTCCTATTGCTTAGTATTCTCGGACACCAATTCACTAGACAAGTCTCCAAACCAAAACACGGTTGAACAGGAAAGAGATTGTATTCCAAATAACAAGGTTATATGGAAGTAAGAAGCACAATAGGAAAAACGTTAGTATATTTATAGTTTTTACATGATATTTCTAGAGTATTCTCCAAGTATCGACTAGCGCTGATTGGGCGAGAATTAGCCAACCATCGTGCACCAAACCAATCGTGCATTGAGCATGCTTTAATCCAGTCTATGTCCCGCCAACAGTGATCATGGGATATCGTAGTTGCTCATTGAAAAGTGACTTGTTGTCTCTATAGTTTATATAAAATAGAAATTTTCATATCAACAAGTGTTGTGACTTGTCGGCTGCTAAGAATACCTATAGTATCATACTTTTACAAAGTGGACCTAACGTAACTAGTTAGAATAAAAAACTATTGCTCAATGAAACTTCAACTATAACAACGACATACAAGAGACTAAACTAGACTTTGCAAGTGAACTTTTTGTGCCTCAAGTAAGTACAAAATGAATAAGCATTGCTTATATTACTCGTCCAATTTGAAATAACCTGTAGAATAATTGTTTCTTCTTTTTTGCTTCAGGGTTTCGATGTATCTAGTCAGTATAATCTTCAAGAGGTTATGTCTAAACAATTGTACTTATGTCAGTGTTTATGTGCATTAATCAACCTTAGACCAGGTAGGTAGGTGTGTATTGGGAAATCTCTTGTTACTTGTAATTTGTCTGTTTTATAACTTCGTTTATATATGTACAACACTGCAGGTGCGCTTTAACAATAATTGTCAATTAGCATGAAATCTAACCTCAGAGTCTCCCTCTGACTATCTTCAATCATCTAAATTTTTACCAATCTATGCCATCGATATTTCAAATGCCTTAGAATTTGTTTTATTTTTACAGTTATTATTATTATGTGAATGCTGACTTACTGACGGACTGTCTTAAACAAGCTAAAACCTGTAATAAATGCGTATGTTGGTTTAGTACAACAAAATTGAAATCAAACGTATGTGAAGAGGAAATAACTAAAAAGGTTTATAATAGTAGTGGATTTGTTTCCATATGTAAAAGAGATGAGGAAATCGATAGAAAATAAATCGTTTAAGAATAATCAATTAATAGAGGAATGGGTTTTGTGAATATAATAGTAATTTTAATAGTTGGGATCATGAGTCAATGGAAGCTAGATCACCATGGAGCCCCCAAATGCCCTGGTACGGCCGAGAGTGGGGAGAGTCCGCTCTCCCTCTCGAAATGCTCTCACATGGTCATGCGTATATAGCTTCTGTCAGGGAAGTCCTACTCACTGCCTTCTCGTGGCGGGGGTGTTGTTTACGAAAATGAGAGGACGAAAAGCGAATGTCCGGCGCTATAACCGGATCCCAAATCAATGCTGCACATGGGCTGGCTCCAGTATCCTGCGGGAACAAATGGCGTATGAACCGATCGTTGATCACCGTCTACCGTGGGACTGCATCTCCTCACGATGCTCCACTGCCTTGTGGATCAGACCTTTAGGTCGAAGGCTCGAGGTGTGGTCCCCTAAGAAAACCACCTGCTTCGGTTTGGGCACCCGGGCAGTATCACAGCCCTCACACATATCCAATGAGCTTTTTGTGGCGCATATGTATTTGGTGCCTCCTTGTACCAATATCTATGTGTTAAAATAAATAAATAAATAAGATCACCATGGAAAATCTGTAAGCATTGGAAGGCCGTCACGCCTTGCGAGATTCGAATCCAGGGCCTATCAGTCTTGCGCTCGAGCGCTTAACCATGGGTGTATCTCTCAATTTTGTGGATTAGTTGAAGTTAGGTATTAACACGTTGGATGCCGGCCGACTCAGTGGTCTAGTGGTTAAGCGCTCGCATGTGGGTGGGTCCTGGGTTCAAATCTCGCGATGCGAGTTCATGGGTGCACACTGCTGAGGAGTCCCACAATGGGACGAAACAGTCGTCCAGTGCTTCTAGGTTTTCCATGATGATCTAGATTCGATTGACTCATGATCTCAGCTATTAAAGTAATCAATTACTTCACAAACTATCATTATGTCTTGATATAATCATCTTGTTTATTTTTTCCCAACTGGTTTTATGTCGAACAGTTTGATGGGATGACTGGTCATACGCAATAAATGTTTGAATTGCTTAATGTGATGGAATTCTTGAATAATGTCAATCAATGTATTAAGTCTACCTTTTAAATTTTAATGAGCTTCCTCGCTCTTAGTTAGGTAGTAGTATAATTGTGAATTTTTCATTATCTTTCTAAACAACATTATCAGAGCTTACTTCAGGTACAATCTAGTTGTTTTAATTAACTAACAAGCTCTAATTCAGCCTATTCTGATAAATTTATCTGTGAATAGTTGTTTTGGGAGTTTTTGTCGCTGTATTCCCATTCAGCACTTTTTTCTTTTGTTTCATTGATCTTTAGCTACGTGATTGATTGACATTATTCCGTATACGTTGATGAACAAATAGGTCTGTATCGATGATGAAAGCTTCATGATTAAATTAATTTGAGCTTAGAGTACATAACACAATCAGAACCATTATTATTATTGTTACTATTAGCTTTATTCAATATTATATTTTTGGTACAATATAGAATTCTCAGCATAAAGTATTTCAGCGAATTTCCTTTTCGTATTTCTTGATCGATCCTGACGATAGGTATTCAGTGATCGACAGTTAAATGTTAGAATTTCAGAAATTGGTATCTGAATAATGTTCATTCTTTTTCAGTCCATATTGCCAGTAATCACGTTGTCTTCGATTGTACATTTTTTATAACTTGTACAGTGAAAGGTTGTAAACATTTCACAAACACACCTGAATTGGGTTATAATACTAATAGGCATAATGATTTGTTAAAACATACAAAGAAACAAATAATTTGTTGAAATATCAAGATAGTAGGGAGGAATGGGTAGCTCAGATATTCATACAGGTCACCAGTGGATGCATCCACCTCAGTTACAAATCTTTTATTTTTTTCATTTCCAAATTTATTAACAATTGATTGTATTATTAAATAATTATGTATTTTCAATAGTTGAGATCATGAGTCAATCGAAGTTAGATCACCATAGAAAACATGGAAGCACTGGACGGCCGTTTTGTCCTATTGTGGGACTCCTCAGCAGTGCTCATCCACAGTCCCACTTCGCGAGATTGGAACTCAGGACCTATCAGTTTCGCACACGAGCGCTTAACCTCTAGACCACTGGGCCAACCGGCATCCAACAGTGTTAATGTCTAACTCCAACCAATCCTCGCTGAGGATTCTCTCAATAGGACTAGACGACCGTCCAATGCTTCTAGGTTTTCCATGATGATCTAGCTCCCCTTAACTCATGATCTCAACTATTGATATTACTATAATATTCACAAAAACTCTTCTAATATCAATTATGTATTTGTATTTCTTCTTTTTAAAATCATTAACAAATTTAGGTGGACATTTTTTAACAAAATTATTTGATACATTTACTGAATTCACAATTGGTATCATTTATTTAATGGGTTATTTATTTGAAGAGATTTTCATTATAAAACCTGTAACTAGTCGACCAGCTAATTCAGAACGGTTAGTTTATTTATTTATTTTTATTTCATTCTATTAAGTTTTGTTTATTCCTGTTTACTAAGTACAAATTTTTCTTATTTAATTTAAGTTATATCTAACAGTAGAATCCAGGATACGAGTTTCGTCTCATTTTTTTTAAAAGATTCATCAATTGAATATACTTTTATTTCAGTGTTAATGATGATTATATTTGAACTTGAACCCAATACCTTTCACTACAAACGTCAATACATAATCAATTGAGCTACTGAGTTCAGATAGTAGCCACTAGCTTTTGCAACGGGCACAGGTTTAATTTGTAAGGGTTTATATTTTACAATTGTTGATATTAAAGACTGTGATTGATGAGCTTCTCTATTAGTGATCCACTCAGGACATGTATATCAATAGAAAATGACCAGTCGCAGTTGTCAATACTGACAGTTAGAAAATAAACGCCTTTACAAATGAATATAAACTGTTAGTATTCATGTTTTATTTTTGGATAATTCTACAAAAAAGCCAAAAACAATACTAAAAATTACTTTTAATCAACGAATATTTTTGGGTGAAATTTCTAAAATATGTCTAGAAAACAATACTTCTTGGGGCTCTTGTAAGCCATTCTGAGTTAGAGGATGATCTTGACGACTTAAGAGTATGACTCGTAGAATCAAACGGATGACTGTTTAAGGCTATCTACAGACAAATTTTATGTGAATAGTTTTAGTTGTTATCAATTTGGGTATTGTGGAGCTTGTCAAGTTTTTGAGTGATATCATGAACCGATTGATGTTAGGCCACCATTCAAAACCTGGAAGCACTGGACGGCCGTTTCGTCCTATTGTGGGACTCCTCAGCAGTGCTCACCCACGATCCCGCTCACGGGATTCGAACCCAGGGCCTTCAGCCTCGCACGCGAACGCTTAACCTACTGGACCACTGAACCGGCATCTAATGGTGTTAATGTCTAAATTCAACCAATCCACGAAGTTGCGCTACCATCTTCCATTGTACTAAGGTATACACCTGTTTCTAGTTGTGTTAGCTCCGTACTTCTAAGGCCTTATCGTTAGGGTCCTTATCTGTGTAACCAGGTGATGTCTGATATTTCTGAGGTCTACCTTCTTAAACTTTCTCCTGTCATGTTATGTTAATATGGCTGTAGTTGTTGGTTATCTAAGAAAACCACCTTCCTGCAGTCACACCTGTGTACGTTCTGCAGCACGACTTAGTGCTCAAATCATGAGTTTGTTGCCCTAGTCATACCACTCTCCGATCAACCTTCATGGTGTGGTAGGAACTAAAGGAACATGTGTCTCAGTCAATGTAGCTTGATTGAGTCAGCATCATTAGGGTCAACGTTTGTTACATAGATAATAAAGGAATTGCATAAAATTGGATGGTGGAAAGTATGAGATAATAATCAAATTCATAGTTTATTCAAAGTACAAAGAATGGATGGATCTTGGTAGCTAAAATCGATTTTCGTTGCTAGACGCATCATCTTTAGGCATCCAACTATAAGATCACTCTAATCAGAAGGTTTACATCATTCAGCACACCTCTCAATCCAACGGTGATTAACTTTATGAACTAATGTCACACCATAATTTGATCATCATAATCTGTAATAGTTATTTGATAAAAACTACTAAGTTACAATAATGTTGACATTATATGACTCCTAATTTCCCCTTTCTTGGTAGATGGTTATTATTATGTAATTTAATATATTATTTATCAAACTGTTCATTCTATCTGTGATTGTCGTTGCATTCTCTTCTAACCATCAAGTTATTTAGTATGCAAAAATTTACGATCATCTTTAAACACAATGGCTGGTTGTGTACCTGCTCCCAAATCATCATCATCATCATCATCATCCATGGCAAGTCATTCGGATTCCACTGATCAAAAGTCAAGTTTCCGACAGAAGACACGTAAATTTCCAGGTCAACAACAACAAACAACCACTACAAATGGTATTGTTGTTGATGATATGGAAGCCAGTAAAAAGTTTGGCATTCTAACTGATGTGAAAGAATCTGGTTCACTTGGTCTAGTGATCAATCATTTTTTACAAGTTAATGAAAAGTTAAATCAAATTAAAACAAACCAATCAATGTCAACCGATCCAAAATTGGATGTATTAAGAATATGTCATACTGAAATAATTGAACAAGATGACAAATTTATGCAATTTATTCAGGGGATGAATGAAGAGTAAGTTGTGATACTTTTGAATGCTTTTCTTACCAGAAAATACATACAAGTTTGTTCTTATTTGTCTATTTAATAAGTCTATTTATGGTACCGTTCACTATTGTCCGTTGTATGTTTAATAATAAATTTAAGTAGCGAAAATTTAGTTTTGCAAAATTTATTCTGGATCAATCTTATGCTCTGATACGTTCGAGAGTAGGGAAAGTTAGATATTCTTCTCAAAATGCTCTCACGTGGACACGCGTATACAACAGCTGACAACGAAGTCCTACTCACTGACTTCTCGAGGCGAGGGTGTTGTTTACGAAATTGAAAGGACGGAAAGCGAATGTCTGGTGATTTAACCACGTTGGTGTTGGTGGATACGGAGGATATATTTAAAGGAGTTTAAAAACCCTAAATTCAAAAAAATCGTGCACATGGACTCAAGGATCCTAAGGAAACAAATGCCGTATGAACCTAATGATGTTCACCGGCTAACATGAGATTGCATCTTCTAACATTGCTCCACTGCCTTGTGGACTGGACCCCTAGATCAGAAGCTCGGGGAGTGTTCTTTTAAGAACACCACCTGCTTCGGTCTGGGAACCCATGCAGTATTCCAGCCCTCACACAAATCAAATGACCAAGTGTGTCGCATATGTATTTGTTGCCTCTTTGTACCAATATTTTTGTGTTTAAACACTTTGAAAAAATGGTTTATTTTTGATTATGCATGCGTTCTATTTCTGTTTCCACTAATCGAAAAATTTGAAGGTCATCAGAAGTTAATTACTTCAGCTGCCTTGTTATTATATCGGAACTCTTTTGAGAAACTGAGATAGATTGTACTGTTAGTTTCTGCATGAATACTTCAAGAAACTTCATTTAGTTTGCTTCATGTTATTCTTAATGCAATTGTAGGATGGTTTCAAGATTATGCAAAGAAATAGATATTATTGAATTGATGTGTTATAGCCCGTTTTAATACCCTAATCTCCCTTCTTGGTAATGGCTAGATATATTAATTATATTAAGAGCTCTGTAGTCGATGATATGGTTTTACTGAATAATATGTCTTAGAACAGGTTGTAATGATGTAGATACATTCCTTGTTTATCTTCTCTTAGGTTTTAAGTTCTTAATTTCTTTGTACTGTTTATTCCGTAAAGTCTGCTACTAATATGATTTGGCAACTTAATTTGGTGCATATGTCTGCCAGATTCTATGTTACTCATGACAGACTGATTATGAAAATCTAATTTCCTAGTAAACTTAATTGCTTTAGTGTATTTTAAATCAAATGTTCAACTGAATGTCTCTTATTTTCTTTTCGTCTTTTATTTAGTTTTGCTAAACATCAATGTGTGGCTTTGTCAAAACTATTAGCATTCTCTCAAGATCACAGTCTTACTGAAAAGAGACAAGATGAATTGTATAAAGCATGTTTAGAAAAATGGAAGGTAATTGTGTTCGTTCGTGTGTTTAGTCTTTTTGTTTTCTTGTTTGTTGTTGTTGTTGTTGTTTCAGAGAACTTGTCTCGATCTAGATTAGGGTCTTAGCACAATAGACTGTCTAGTCCAACCTTGAGGCTGGAAATGCGTGATTCTGAAATGAGACTAATAGTCTTAGGTAGAGAGGCAAAAACTATTCTATTACCTGACTGGTTGACAAGCGAGCGAGAAGATGAGTCAACTGGAAAACCTCTCGATTTATCCCTAATTCAGATTCATGACCAACACGACCATCATGCACAAACAATTAGGAAACACAAATATGTCCAAATTGGGGGTTAGGGTGGAAAAATAAAGTACCAAATGTTATAATAGCTTTGAAATTGGAAAGGGTATGGTAGTATATCATGTAACAAACTCGTGCTTATAGTCTATATAACAACCTAGGGACAAAACTGAACGGTAATAGTTTACAAATTTTGAATTAAGTGATGTTTCCAAAAATATCTTCTGTTGTTTGTCATAGCTTCTTTATTTATCTATTCACAACAAAGCCACATCACAGGTTAGAAGCTCGTTTCACCTTTTTTTGAATACCGGTAGTTTCAATAATATAACCAGTCCCTATTTAGTGAAAAGTGATATAGTTCAGGTAACCTGTATTTGAAAATAAGCCTAAGATGTATATCAACTGTTTATTGTTATTGTTACATAATTTTCTCTCATTCGCTATAATTGATTGACTTTTGTTTTTCAAGATTCCAATAACAGAACGTCGATCTGTCCCTTGGCCTTTATTATCCGCTAATCGTTCACCAATTATTCGTCGTTTATTAGGTGTAAGTTATAATTGGACAGTTTATATTTGTTCTGATCTCTTTTTCTTCTTCAGTTCTTACTCGAAAATTGCTTTCACAGTACTCACCAGTATCATGATAAATCAAAACACAAAACATATAACATGATAACTCAACGAGATGATTTTGTGTTTTGTCAATTACATAGTTAAATGATAAGGTTGTTTAATTCTATCTGTTCTGGAGATTTTTTCTGGTTGGCGGAGAACAGCAACCCAATCACTCTTGATGGCGAAACTGGAGGATGTAGAATCCTTCACATACCTGAAAGCATCATCGATGAACAAGGAGGTTCAAATGCAGACGTAAAAGCGAGGATTGGCACAGCAAGGGCGACATTCCTTCAATTAATGAACATGTGGAACTCAAAACAACTTTCAACCAATATCAAATTCAGAATCTTCAATATGAACGTCAAGGCAGTTCTACTGTACGAAGCTGAAACTTGGAGAACTACAACAACCACCATCAAGAAGGTACAAGTATTTATCAATAGCTGTCTACGAAAGATACTCAACATCCATTGGTCGGATATCATCAGCAACAGCCTTCTGTGGGAGAGAACAAACCAGCTTCCAACCGAAGAGGAAATTAGGAAAAGACGATGGAAATGGACAGGATATACATTGAGGAAATCATCAAACTGCATCATGAGGCAAGCCCTAACCTGGAATCCTGAAGGGAAGCGCAAAAGTGGCAGGCTAAATAACACATTACGTCGGGAAATAGAATCAGATATGAAAAAGAGCTGGAAAGGCTTGCCCAGGACGGGGTTTGATGGAGAATGCTAGTGGGTGGCCTATGCTCCTTCACGAGAAGTAACAGGCGTAAGTAGTAGTAGTAATCTCGAGATTATTTGAATGTTCGATTATCGGGTTGAATAGAATAAAATTGTCTCTTTAACATTTTATGATATCATCCAGTCAGGTCAGTTGAGTAAAGATAAAACTATGAACAACAAGTGTCACATCCAAAGTCGAAATTATTCTATCAATAATTGGCACGTATAACGATAATGCCGTTCGACAGACAATTAATTGCTTGGAGAGGTCAATATTAAGAAAGTGAACACTCCTCATTTTTCTAGACAACTTAAGCCAGTAATCTGTGAGGCAATCAATTTTTGTTACTGTTCTAGTCGATTTTTTATAACTTCCCCCCTTTATAGTTGAGTAGGCATGGTCTCTAGAGGCATTATTTATCTATGCAAATTGCTTCTCTACAACGTGATATAGCGATCAATACTACTTCACTTTAGAACGTAAGACTTTCTGTGTTTCTTCAGCATTTGTTTAAATGTTCTTTCTAACATGATAGGATCTTGGTGGACAAATTTTTAGTCAAGTAGGCTCGATCGAACCTTCAAAACAGTTAAATTTCATCATCACAATAGACTAAAGAAAAGTTGTAACTATATTAATTTAATAGAACAATACATCTCACTAAAAGCCTACAGATGCATGTATCATTTGCATAGGGATTATGCTTTTCCCGTATGAACTACTGATACTATGAGCGTGTGTAAACCGAAATAAATGAGACTGTATTTGAATCAGTTACTTATAAATTTGTCAATCACATGATATTCAGATTCAGATTTGTATAATAAGGACCAAAGGCCTACGGCCTATGTTATTCCTTTGCTAGTATGCTTCTGTGAGTGTCCAGACTTCTCTTGAAAGAGTCAATTGAAGGTGCGGACACCAATGCTTCGGGCAGCAGGTTCGAAGTATTGATGACTCGGTGTGAAAACCTGTATGGCACAGGTATTTTGTTCGTTCTTGGCTTTTCTACTCGCCTGCTATGTCCTCTGAGATGTCCCGATCTAGTGGGAAGAAAAAGAGAGAGTAAGTTAGGTCCAAAATCATTTCTCAGTATTCTGTACATAAAAATTAGGTCGCCCCTTAATGTGCGACAGGACAGGGTGAAGAGATCTAGCTTTTCAAGCCGCTTTTTGTATGGCAAACCCCATAGTTCTGGAATTACACGGGTAGCTGCCCTCTGTACTTTTTCTAGGATATCCGAGTCACTTTTTAAACACGGGCTTGCAGCCTGAACGCAGTTCTCAAGCTTAGTTCTCACTAAGGACGTGTATACTTTGGTGAACATGGTAGTATCTAGCTTAGTGAATGTCCGTTTTAATGCCCAGAGGGTTCGAAACCCCTTAGCTGCAACCTCCCGGCAATGGGTCGTCGTCTTAAGATCCTGACTTACTGTCACCCCCAGATCCTTATGAGACCGAACCACTGGTGATTGCACTTCCCCTATGTTATACCTATTAACATTTGAGTCCCCGAAGTGCATGTAGACACACTTTGCCGCGTTGATAGGCATCAGCCACTCTTTAGACCAGTTAATTATTTTATTTAGGTCTGCCTGAAGAGCATATGAGTCTGTGTCTCCAGTCAGTCAGTCAGCTGCAACGTAGGACCAGGCACGTATATGCATCGGTCCAAGTTGTCTGTGTCTCCAGTTATTAATGAATTGTAGAAAAGTGACTTAAACTAGTTACTTTTACGATACTATACAAAATATGTTATCCATTAGTAATATTAACGTCTACTTCTTGTTTCTTTACAGGATAGCGAAAATTTGACATCACTTAATACGTTACCATCAGAATATCGTACAAATATACGTCTTACACCATTTACTAATGCAAATTTAAATAATTTAGATATTTTATATCATAGTCGAATTGCTTTAGTATGCGGTAATCCGTCAATTACATCAACTTCTGAACCAGCTCAAATAATGTTCATTTATTCACATGGATCTGCAGTTACGGTAGGTAAATTGAATATACTTGTCTCAACTACTATTTACTGCACAGTATTTCGTATACATTAAACACAGGTATACATGATCATTCAAAAATATTCATAAAAGAATATAAAAATAAGTTCATATTCATCATTTTGGATCCTATTTATTAAACATATACGTACTACTGGCTAAGTTTCAAAGTCCTGATAAGAAACTATGATGGAAGAGTGTTGTATGACTACATCTGATAGTAATAAAATAATTCCGTAATCTTGGTTAAATATTTCATTATATCGTGAATTGGTTGAATTAGACTGTTAGATTCCAATTCAGTGTTCTTAAAGTATTGTTTTCATCGAAAGATCTAAAACTCTTGGGTTCGACCTAATGAGAGGTTATGAATTGTGCACTGCAAAGATGCGGTCCCAAACTATAATGTGTAAATTACCCCGGTCTTCTAAGTTTTTAATCTTTCTGTTAGCCGTTGAAAATTCTTCAAAAGAGGGTTCATAATCTGGGGAAAGCCTAAAAGTACTTTGATCAATCTGTGTCGAATGAAGACTCCATAAACTTCTAGAAAAGGTACCCATAAATCTGTAAATACTCTTGCTTTCTGTATATAACTTAATCTTGAAATGAGAGCATCTACATCTCACCTCTCTCCCGTTTGGACTTCAACAACAGAAGTATTTTCAATGGTTAGATCATGAGTCAGTTGAAGCTAGACCACCATGAAAAACCTGGGAGCACTGGATGGCCTTTTCGTCCTATTACGGGACTCCTCAGCAGTGGGCATCCACGACCTCGCCCCTTGTGGGATTCGAACCAAGGACCTACTGGTTTCGCGCGCGAGCACTTAACCACTAGACCACTGAGCCGACATCCAACGGTGTTAATGTCTAACTTCAACTAGTGGTTAAGTGCTCGCGCGCGAAACTAGTAGGTCCTGGGTTCGAATCTCACAGGGGGCGAGGTCGTGGATGCGCACTGCTAAGGAGTCCCATAATAGGACGAAACGGCCGTCCAGTGCTTCCAGGTTTTCCATGGTGGTCTAGCTTCAACTGACTCATGATCTAATCATTGAAATTACTACAATCTCCCCAAAACCCCTTCTGATAATAGAAGTATTTTTTGGAAAATAGGAAGCAGCTAGAAATTTATAATGATGCGTTTAAGTACCAGACTTATTAGCCTCAACGATTGATATCTATGATAAAAATCGAACTTAAACTGGAAAATTCCCACAAATCCCCATCTTTTCACTTTAATTGCCTTAGTACGTACATATCATTATTAATATATTATCATATCATTTACATTCTGAGATTAATTGTGTATATTTATTCTGTTTGTAATTGTTTTAGGATACATATTGCACTGTTGATGGAGATCAATGGAATAGATTAGATCAAGTGATACCTAGACTAAACCCACGACTTCCACCTAGTACCTTAATTTGGGGCCAACCATTTTATGAATATGCTGTGAAGGTAATTTTTGAAAAAAAAAGACTAATAATGTTTATCTTGTGAAATGTTTTATAAATATAAGATTAATTGCATTCTTGGTTTGTGTGTAATTTCAGCCTCCTTGTGTTACAGTTTAGTAAAGAAGTACACGTTTGTTTCTTATACTTCGTATGATTCTTTTTGATGTCGTACAGTATGATAGATGATGGCGAAACACAACTTGATTCTGAAGTACCATTAAAAACTAGGATGAGGACTGGATAGCTGCTTTATCCTAATATAGAACTCTTCAGCAGCACTCACCCAAGTCACCGTTTGTTGATTTAATCTGTATCAAATGCATGGACCTCTTCATTTGGCCCTACACTATAATTGTGATCATCTTGTCATCTTGAGATACAAGAAACTATTTTCACATTTGTAATTCCATTATTTATAATTATAAGAATGGTTCTTCATATCTGAAGACGACATTTTAAAACAAAAATTATCAATATAGTACATTTGGTACACAAATAGGAATAGAATGAGTGGTTGTCTTGTGGTTAGGATGTTCGACTTTCGACCTAGGCTCAAACCCCACTCCACCTATTTCTGTTTGGGCAGCCGGGTAGTATTTATTATTTATTTATTTATTTATTTAAACACAGAAACAGTAGTACAAGAAGGCACCAAATACATATGCGCCACACAAATCTCATTTGATGTGTGAGGGCTGTGATATTGCCCGGGTTCCTAAACCAAAGCAAGTGGTTTACTTAGGGAGTCACACCCGGAGCCTTTGGTCTAAAGGTCCAATCCACAAGGCAACATTAGGAGATGCCGTCCCATGGTAGCTGGTGATCAACAATTGGTTCATATGCCACTTGTTTCCTTAGGATACTGGAGCCCTTGTGTACCATAGGTTTGGGATGAGGGTCTTCCTACTCTCGTAGGTGTATCCTCCATATCCACCAATGTGGTTAAAGCATCAGACATTCGCTTTACTTCCTCTTAATTTGGTAAACAACACCCCCACTTCGAGAAGGTAGTGAGTATGACTTCGCTGGCAGTGGTTGTTTACGCGTGTCCATGTGAGAGTATTTCAAGAGGGATAGCTGACTCTCCCCACTCTCGGCCGTACCAGGGTATTTGGGGACCCCACACTTAAATTGCGGCTCATGTTCAATTACCTGGTGAATGAGTTAACTTAATTCTATTTAATGGAATTTTTATTGATTGATTCATTTTAATAACCATCCACTCGTGGTTGGTCAATATCGCAAAACTGTCTAACCTTCTCAGAATATTTATGGTATGATTTCATCGATTAAATTAAAACTATTTTCGATTACAAAATTACATTAAAAGTGTTAAAAAGAATAACAACAATCAACACTCTGTACAGGCAGAGACGTAAATAAGAAATTCAATATAAAACTGGTCGAATTGTTGAGTCGGTCAATAAGAAAGTAGATAGTTTATAATCAGACATTTATTCACTAACTGTATTGGATAATGATTGCGTAATATAGTAGACCAATTAAAATTAAAACTGTCCACCATTGAATATCACGTCAATGATCTTACAGTTTAGACTCTATCTGCTAGACCTGGGGTTTCTGAGCTCGACCGATGCTTGGCAAAATCGCTGTTGCCTATTGCTAAGGATTTCCATACCAGGATGTGACAGCTGTCTAATGCTTCCTGGTCCTCAAGAGCTGTCTGAATAATGTCACTTTGGTTATGTGAACTATAAGTACTTACAATCAGTCAATGCATTACATGTAGTTGTTATGCAACAAAATATATTAGTCATTACTAAGTAGCATAATTGCGATATACAAATCTCATAATAATCCTATATATCCTTTTAATTTCTTTGTTAACATGTAATGCAATTCACTATCCTTATAAAGGGTTGTGTCGTTAGTTTTAAATTAAACTCTTGTTGTTTTAAAGTTCACTTTTCTAAAGTGTTTATCTATTTTAACCATTGAACAATTAATTTTTGCACTATATACTGAAATGATAGCAATTAAGTAGTTTCTAATCTCATGCTTTAATGTCAAATGTTTTCACTAAATTATGGCATTATAAGTGTTGATTTTAGTCTTTGATAAATGTGTTTGTTTAAATGAATGAATAAAATACATTTTAATAGTTGAGATCATGATTCGATTGATGCTAAACCACCATGAAAAACCTGGAAGCACTGGACGGCCGTTTCGCCCCTTTTATGGGACTCCTCCGCAGTGCACATCGACGAGATTCGAACCCAGGACTTATCAGTCTCGTTTCGCGAGCGTTTAACCTCTAGACCACTGATCTGGCATCCAATGATGTTAATATCTAACTTCAACTAATCCACAAAATTGAACGAAACGTCCACCATTGTCTTCAGTGAGTTACTATCTCACAACAGACCCGGTTGAACTTCACTGGTCACTGCTTCTCATCAGAACTCCAGGAAATACCTCTTGAAACCAGTCACTATTGAGCATATGTTGATTAGTATCAGAAGAGGTTTTGTGGATATTATAGTTATGTTAATAGCTGAAATCATGAGTCAATTGAAACGGCCGTTCAGGTATTCCATGGTTGTCTAGAATCGATTGACTCATGATCTCAACCATTAAAATTACTATAATATCCACAAAACCCCTTCTGATATTAAAATACATTTTTTTGAATAAGCATAGACCAGTGATTATCTGGCCAGTTACCCCCCCCCCAGAAATTCGATAGAATCTCACCTTTTGTTTGAGCAGCAGTCGGCTAGTCGTATATCATTGACGTCCGTTGGTTTATAATCTACAGTTGTATAATGAATTAAATTTAATTAGTTTATATTATAAGATGATGCTGATCCTCTGATCTCTTAAAAATAGTATCAACAATGATTTGTCGGGAACTGTGATACTCTAAGATGTACTTCCTTCATTGATAACAATTATTATTAAGTTCTTCATTGTTTAGTGTACAAATTACATATTTTGATATGTATGTGTGTGTGTGTTTTCAGTCCCATCTAATCAGAATCTGATTTTTACCGATTAAATCCGTTTTCATTTATGTTAGTGATAAACTAATGTAATTCTGGTAACAAGAGGGATGTGTATATATGTCATTTATTTTTTGTAATGTTTAATTGTGCACTTTTGTTTTGTTCTCTGGATCTTTTTCTAGAATGGTTTACGAAAACATGGTTTATTTATATATGATGTTGTGTGTATCTACGGTCGAGATTGTCGTAAATTACCATACAGGAAAAGGTAAGTAGATGTTGTTTTTATGTTTATTTCACCTATTGATTTAAGATATAATCGTTGAATATACTTATATTTATTACGATTGAGATATTGTCTTTAGATATATAACTTTTACCTACTTACTTACTTTAGACATCCAGTTGTTTCTATTATATAGACAAGTAGATTAGAAGGAGTCTAGAACCATTGAAAATTAGTTGTGTTTTATCAATGAATGAAGTTAGTTTAAAGTGTGTTGAGATTGTTTTGATATTCTTTGGTTAATATCTACTTCGCTATTTGAAATATCCGTTTCGGAGATGATTCCGTTGCATCGGCGCAGGTGCATCCTCTCTATGTGTTCTAAATTCTTCATGTCCTTTATTTTCTTTCCAAATCTATTCCACTGGATTATACTCTTTAAATAACATCATCAAACCCTAATGTTCCCTATCACTACTTATACTTTCACTACCTCTACCACTACGGGATTTTAGTCGATAACTGAGTCTGTGCTATTGTGGTATGGCAACTCGAACTGATGTACGTACGTACGAAGTTCTATGTTGTTATTGACTGACTGACTCCGTTGCATCGGTGCGGATTCGTTCATTGTTTACTTTCATCTATCTGGTTATTTGTGATTATTTTTCATTCTCTGAAATCATTCACAGATTATATTAACCATTACTTTTCACTGTTTATGCATCTACTCTTTTAATTTTTATCTAGTTAACATCATCTCTCACTGTTTTGGAGACAGACACATAAGGACAATGGCATATTCGATACTGTTTACTATTAACTAACTGATTCAGTTAGTGAGTAACAACATAGAACTTCGTACGTACGTACATCCATTCGAGTTGCCATACCACATTATCACACGGTTACAATTGTCGATTCAAATCCCATAGTGGTAGAGGTAGTAAAACTATAAGCAGTAATCGGAGACATTAGGGTTTGAAGATGTTATTCAGGGAGTACAATCCAGTGAAATAAATGTGGAAAGAAAAAAAGGGACATGAAGAATTCAGAAGATTAGAGTTTGAGAGAACACAAATAGTGGATTCACCTGCGTCATCGCAAACGATTTTGAACCATATCATCCAAAGTCTCTAACCATCGGTTGCTATCGTCTCACGGATCCCAACCAGATAGTTTACACCTATCAACATGACTCAGTCCACTTGTCAGTGACTTCATGGATTTGTGCCATTTTTTGTTCTGGCCGCTTTTAGCTTTCTCCCAACCTACTCCTACACTATTGAACATCGCACATCGGGGCAGTCGGTGGTTGGGCATACGTAAATCCGTATCCAATGGTGTACATGGGCTCCAGTATCCTGAGGGAACAAATGGCGTATGAACCAATTGTTGGCCACCGGATACCATGGGACTGCATTTCCTGACGTTGCTACACTGCCTTGTTGGTCAGACCTTTAGGTCAAAGGCTCGGGGTGTAGCCCCCCGAGAAAACCACCTGCATCGGTCTGGTCACCCGGGCCGTATCACAGGCCACACACACAAATAAAATTTTGTGTGGCGCATATGTATTTGGTGCCTTCTTGTACCAATATTTATGTGTTAAAATAAAATTAATAAATGAATACGTAAAACATGTCCCAGCCATCTCAATTGATGAAGTTTCATTACTTCATCAATTGATTTGCCAATATTACCTAGTACCCGTTTCCTAACAACTGAGTTACTTACTCGATGGTCTCAGGATATACGAACAATGTTTCGAAGACACCTATGGTCAAATACTATTAACTAACTGATTAATACAAACTAATATGCTACTGGATTTTAATCATCAAATTTTTCTGGAACTTGTGATTGAAACCTGAACGTTTTACTGTTCAATGTATTTTCAAGTTTCAATTGACGAGTCTTCATTGTTTCGTAATTCTCTGGACGAAATTACAAAAACTCTATGCTCAGTCTTTATTACAATTGACATGCTCGTAATAAATGAAACTTTATTATAAGCAAACTTGTATATTCTCTATACAATAAATAGTTTCAAATTCATTTTAGTCTGTACAAGTCTATACATATTTCATATTGATGCTATAGATTGTTAAAGTAAGTCCTGTTGGTAGATGAATACCACCTAATCAGGATCCACACATCCATCGTAATCAGTTGTCGGAGACGTTAATTGATTATGACTCAGAATCGGTTACAATGATTTAGATAAATTCAATTATTATTTCCTCATAGACCCCTGTGTTTTATGGTTGTCTTATAATTTTTCAATCCAGGAATTTATCCTTCTGTAATCATATCGCCTATACCCAGACTTTTCTACTAATACCATTGATAGTGTGACTTTCTACTACTCTTACATTTGTCTTGATAATTGTACTGTACTGTTCTCATGTAGATAATATGTTAACGTGTACCGATGCATATACATTTACTAGGTTTTACTACTTATTGACCTACAACTAACATACTTATTAAATGGTAACTTCGTTTAAAACATAGTCCCATAATAGGACGAAACGGCCGTCCAGTGCTTCCAGGTTTTCCATGTTGGTCTAGCTTCAACTGACTCATGATCTTAATGATTGAAATTATTACAATCTCTACAAAACCCCTTCTGATAATAAAACATAGTTGTTTATGATTCCTTTCTTTCTCTTTCAACATACATTTTATTTTGTTAGAATGGAACTAGCTGAACAAATGACAAATGTAATTAATTTTCCAGATATGACTTCATCCAATGTTCGTGTACCACCATTTCTAAAATTGTCAGAATTAGTTGATTATGTGAAAAAGTAAGTTGTATAATTTTCGCCCTCTTCTTCTTCTTCTTCTTCTTCTTATTTTAAAATGCATTTACATGTTTATAAAAGCCTTTGTATATTATATTTGTATTACTTTATGACTGTCAAACTTTATGTATACAAGCAGACAATATAGCTGAGATGCAAAATTCTAGTCGTAGATATCTTTGAATCATTACTAGGTTATTATAGGACGATAATCAGGTAAGCTACACTGAGGTTAAACATTACGGTATTCTGCAGAAATGATAAATTTTTCAATGAAGCTGTAAATCTTCATCAAACTCCTATGTTAACTGAAATTTAACGTACATTTATGTCAGATTTAACGTTGATTAAGACTGACTAATTATATTTGCGCACTTAATGTTTTGACTAAACTGCACCAGGGCAGCTAGTTTTTCGAGTGCAGTGTAAATTAGGTGCACTCGAGAGACCGCAGATCCTGTTCAATGTCCAAGACTTCACATGATTGGGAGACTACCGAGTTAGGGGTAATCTCTCTGGAAAGAACTGGAAAGGAATGCCCAGAAGAGGGTTGGATGGAGAGGTGCTGGTGGGGCGGCTTATGCTCCTCCACGAGGAGTAACAGTCCTAAGTAATTAAGTACTTAATGTATGGTATATTGATTTCTAAACTTTTACTCTATGAATATTAAACTGAAAATAACTAAAGAAAAGGTGACTGTACAGTTTAAACTTCCTTTCTTCAAAGTTTATTATATTCTTAGTAATTGTAACTTTAGTCTGTTTTGATGCTGATAAGAAGAAACATCGTAATAGAATGAATTCGTTGTATTCTGTAAATCTTATTGTCTTTGCTTTGTTCAAGTTTATCAAAAGATGAAGTTAAATAAAGTAGGATATATCATACCACTTGGACATCTTAATGTTTTTTTAAGGAATAAATAGTTTTATATAGAATGCGATTGCATTCAAAACAGTGGATACTACTAACAGTGACTTAAGTACATTAAACCAATGAATCGTAAATATAAAAATTTCACTCCTAACTACAGCCAGAAAGTCTAATCAGTGACTGATTGTCACTAATGTTAGTTACAGTTGAAGGTATATGGGTACGCATATAGTAACTAAACTTAATTGTCAACAAGATCAATGTTTTCGTTCGTGAAATAATATTTCCATTTTCTAGCTTCGATTGACTCATGATTTCAGCTATTAACATAACTATAATATCCACAAAACCTCTTTTGATACTAATCAACATATGCTCAATAGTGACTGGTTTCAAGAGGTATTTCCTGGAGTTCTGATGAGAAGCAGTGACCAGTGAAGTTCAACCGGGTCTGTTGTGAGATAGTAACTCACTGAAGACAATGGTGGACGTTTCGTTCAATTTTGTGGATTAGTTGAAGTTAGATATTAACACCATTGGATGCCAGATCAGTGGTCTAGAGGTTAAACGCTCGCGAAACGAGACCGATAATTCCTGGGTTCGAATCTCGTGGATGTGCAGTGCGGAGGAGTCCCAAAAAAGGGGCGAAACGGCCGTCCAGTGCTTCCACGTTTTCCATGGTTGTCTAGCTTCAATCAACTCATGATCTCAATTATTGAAATTACTACAATCTCCACAAAATCCCTTCTGATTTCCATTTTCATTTGGTTTCAATCTTATTTTCAGGAAGTAATTCATTTGATATTGAGGTTTTGTAAAGATGTTTTAAATATTTTCTGGGGGTTCGGTGTGAATATTCTTCATAGATTGAACTGAACTAGATTACCAATAAAAACCAGAGAACATTGAGCAGTAGCAGTTTCATTCTGATACGGAATAAACAGACAGACATTATCAACATAGAGCCTAACACTGATATGCGTTGGTTCAATTCACCATACTAGATTAGCACGGTCAGATGTAAATAACAAAACAAATCGAAACAATATAGTAGGTATGATAGAGGAACAAAAGACTTCACTAGTTTCCCCAAGCATCAATGTCATGTGCCAGTAGTTTCTTAACTGAGTTCAACCATTAATAAATGACATCACCCCCTTACAAATAAATCATTTCCTGAAATTGCCCTTCTTCTAATGGCAAGCATGCAACCTAATGATATCCCGGATTTCAAAACTTAATGACAATTCTAATTAGAAATTTTTATTCTGTATATTCCATTCTATATATATTCTATAGTACTCGCTTCGGCGGTACATATACTGAGATTGGAACGACATAGAGATTAAGCATGGCCTCTGGTCAAGGATGGCACCCAAAATCGTGAAGCGTTCCATATTTTTTCCTTCAAATACCCTGGTACAGTCGAGTTTAGGGAGGGCCCTCCCTCTTGAAATGCACTCACATGGACACGTGTATATAGTCACTGCCAGGGAAGTCCTACTCACTGCCTTCTCGAGGTGAGGGTGTTGTTTACGAAATTAAGAGGACGGAAAGCGAATGTCCGGCGCTCTAACCGGATTGGTGTACACGGAGAGTCCACCTAGGGAGTTGGAAAACCCTGACTCCAAACTTATGGTACACAAGGGCTCCAGGATTTTTAGAGAACCAATGGCGTATGAACCAATTTCTTAGTCACGGGATACCATGGGACTGCATCTCCTTACGATGCTCCACTGCCTTGTGGATCAGAGGTTCAGGTCGAAGGCTCGAGGTGTGACCCCCTAAGAAAACCATCTGCTTCTGTTTGGGCACCCGGACAGTATCACAGCCCTCACACATATCAAATGTGATCTGTGTGGCGCATATGTATTTGGTGCCGCTATGTATTCAAATAAATAGATTCTATAGCCACTTTCCCTCATTTTCATCAGTTTTATGACTTATTAAGATAATTATGGTGCCTCACCTCCTAAGTGTATGTGTTTTAATAGCACTATGTATATATGTATTTATACATATGTATTTTGTCCAATAGTTTTTTTTATTTGTTCCTTGTTACAGACTACCTCTTCTACCATGTAAAGATTCACCAACACTTGTACCAATGCATTGTTTACCCGATGGCTTTACATTTCAACCACATTCTTTGTTATTAGTACAACATATGACAGGTAAGTAGGATATTAACAATTGGTTTGGATTATGGTTACTGCACTCATCTAACCCAAACTCATTCGCTCACCATATTCCCATTATCTTTCAATTGACTATTTTATTGATTTTTATTTTGCTATGTCATGTTATTGCAAATACTTGTCAAACTTTTGGTTATCATTTTTGTTTTAAAGCTGATTCCTATCAAGAAATTGATATTAAGCTGTAAAAAATTTTCTGAAAACCCAAAAATGTTGTTCTAAATAGGTAGTTCTTGCAGGTTAACTACTTATTGATAGTACCCACTCATAATCCCATACGACCAGTTTGTTGTATACAACTTAGACCCCCCTATATATGTTTATCAATCTGTAAATTATCACAATATAACACCGCAGTGAGATGAATATCAAAGTAATGTTAGTAGTATCTGTGTTATCTAAAAAGCTCTATAGATAAAGAATATGATTTGTGAACAAAGAATGAATCCACGATATAAAAATGATAAAAGGATCTTGAAAATCGTGATTGAAAATAAAATAAAGAGTAAATAGATCTAGATCATTGCAACTGATTCTAAGCTCTCACCTAACATTATCTCTTGCTATCGGTCACAATAATCGTCTAAATCCCAACTAGATTATCTGGTTACATTTCCTCCCTTCAATTTTCTTCCAATCTACTTCTACACCGGTAAATTTATTTATTTATTTATTTATTTGAACACATAAATATTGGTACAGAGGGGCACCAAATATATATGCGCCACACAAAACAATGATAATTTGAAGAGAAGGAGAAAAGAGAAAAAAAAAGTAATGAGCGTGGGGAATTATAAAAAAAAGGGGAGAGAGAGAGAACAATGGTGGGGGAAACGGAAAGGTACAATCAGAAGAGATCTTTCAATTAAGGAAGATACAACCACTTTTTATGAAGAAAGTAAGAGGTTACAGCAGGATCGCCACTGGCTTCTATTCTTAGCCATATCTGATAACGTCTCTAGCCACTGTGTTACACCGTCTCTCGGACCCCAACCAGGGAGTCGTGAAGGACCAACAGAAGCTAGCCCTTTGCAGCTTTCTTTCATACCACGACACCATGTCATATACTGACCGCCTCTCCGCTTTTCCCAACCAGTCCCAGAGTCGGCAAATAATGCACGACGTGGAATTCTCTGGGACGACATTCGTAGAACATGTCCAAGCCACCGAAGTCGGTGTTTCAAGATGGTGACACCAATTTCATTATCGTCTCTGCACCTGAACACTCGATGCCGAACCTCTGCATTACTGACATGGTGTTGCCACTGGATGCCAGCAATCCTTCGGAGACAACGATGATCGAACACAGAGAGTCGTCTAACATCCTCAACTCGGAGAGGCCAGGTTTCACAAGCATAGAGCAAAACTGCTCTCACCGTCGCGTTGTAGATCCGACCTTTTACAGCCAGACTAACATCACGAAGGTGCCAAAGATGGCCCAGATTGGCATAAGCCGCTCTGGCTTTCACTATACGAGCATTGATCTCATCACTCACACCACCACCAGCACTTATGCAGCTACCTTTATTTATTTATTTATTTATTTTAACACATAAGTATAGGTACAGAAAGGCACCAAGTACATATGCGCCACACGGATCTCAATTGATTTGTGTGAGGGCTGTGATACTGCCCGGGTGCCCAAACCGAAGCAGGTGGTTTCCTTAGGGGGCCACACCCCGAGCCTTTGACCTGAACGTCTGACCCACAAGGCAGTGGAGCATCGTGAGGAGATGCAGTCCCATGGTAGCCGGTGACCAACGATTGGTTCATACGCCATTTGTTCCCGCAGGATACTGGAGCCCATGTGCACCATTGGTTTGGGGTCCGGTTAAAGCGCCAGACATTCGCTTTTCGTCCTCTCATTTTTGTAAACAACACCCCCGCCACGAGAAGGCAGTGAGTAGGACTTCCCTGGCAGGCGCTATATACGCATGGCCATGTGAGAGCATTTCGAGAGGGAGAGCGGACTCTCCCCACTCTCGGCCGTACCAGGGCATTTGGGGGCGCAGCTACCTAGATACACGAACTTCTCGACTACTTCTATCTGCTCACCATCCAGAGTGAGTACAGGATTAGAATCCTGCCAGTCTTGTAGAAGTACTTTGCACTTCGAAGGTGCAAAGCACATACCATACCTACGGACATTGATTGCCAACTGATTAAGTGCGGATTGCATAGCTTGGGCATTCTCGCACAGTAAGACAATATCATCCGCATACTCAAGGTCGAGAAGTCTTTCTCCAGGCAACAGATCCACACCACCATTACTTACATCCGTCAGAGCTGTTTCCAGAATGTCATCGATGGCAAAGTTGAAGAGGAATGGTGAGATTGGGCAACCCTGCCTAACCCCACTGCTTGAATGGAATAATGGAGAAAGGTGGTTGTATGCCCTCACTCTGCCTGAGGTGTTTGTGTATAGGGCCTTTAAGATGTTAATAAACTTCTCAGGCACACCCTTCTTCAATAGACAATCCCAGAGAACAGTTCTGTCCAACGAATCGAAGGCAGCCCTGATATCAAGAAACACTACGATTGTTGGCCTTTGATAAATATGGCGGTGTTCTAACATTTGGCGGAGGGTGAAGATATGATCAATACATCCTCGACCAGAACGAAACCCAGCCTGCTCCTCGCGAGTCAATCCTTCTCGGGTTCTGAACAACTTACGAAGTATGACGGAAGCCAATAGCTTGGACGCAATCGGAAGTAGACTTATCCCCCGATAGTTGTTACAGGAACAACGTGAACCCTTTTTAAAGATAGGGACAACTATCGACTCATTCCATGACGTTGGTACACTCTCTCGTTCCCAGATCTTTGTAAACAACGTCGTCAATCCCTTAGTCAAAAAGTCACCACCATCTTTAAAAAGAGCCGGAGGTAAGTCGTCTGGGCCCGGTGATTTGTAACGTTTCAAGAGTTGGAGTTCCTTGCGGACTTCCGCCTCATTTGGTGGATCAGTCGTCACCGGCCATGGAGGGCAGGACAGTCTGACCGATGTTGCCGGAGCAGCAGGCCAGTTGAACTGCCCTTCAAAGAATTCTGCCCATCGTCCAAGACGTCGATGGATGTTAGTGATTGGCGTTGCGTCATCCTCGCAGATTGTTTCGCTCACACCAAACTTCTTGCTGCCAGTGGCTCGGATGAGTTGGAAGAGCTTCCGGTAATTACCAGATGCAGCTGCTGCTTCCAACTCACTGGCACGCTCCGACCACCAGGCTTCTCGGTCCTTACGCAAGCTTTGCCCGATTTCATTACGTAACATCCTTCGTCTGTGGTCAAACTCACGGTCACCCGGAGTAGACCGACGGGCTTCAATCAGTTGTAAGGAACCAGAAGAAACCCAGTGCTTGTAAGCGGGACGTTTCGCAAACCCACAACAGACTGTACCCGCCATTTTCATGGCGTCATGCAATTGCAACCAATGCTCATCTATGCTTTTCGGTGGAATGGTAGCTAGCCTAGAAGCTAGCTCGGTTCGGTACATACTAGCAACAGAAGTTGCAGCCAACTTGCTAACATCAATCCTTTGGTGGCGGTCACTTCGTTGTCCACTGAAAAGTAAGGTAAGATTGGCGCAGACCAGAGCATGATCAGATTCCAGATAGGTACTCCAAAAGGAGCGGCAGTCTTTTACACAACCGCGCCAGCGGTAGCTGATCGCGATGTGATCAATCTGAGTCCAGGCTTGAGATGCAGAAGGAGGACGCCAGGTGGCACATCGGCGATGACTGTGCCGAAAGTTAGTGCTAGCCAGAAACAGGTTGTGGTCTGTGCATAGTTGCAGTAGACGTTCCCCGTTATCTGTCCTGCGACCAACGAGTCCCCATCGGCCACCTAAGCGACTCTCTTCTGTGCCTAGACGCCCGACCTGAGCATTCAAGTCTCCAGCTAGTACTACAATATCTGTCGAACGCACTTTCTGGAGAAGAACAGTTAGCTGATGGTAGAACTCGTCCTTGATTGCATCCGGGCTGCAATCTGTCGGGGCATAGGCGGAGATGACGAAAAGACATCGTTTCTCACGCCGATTTCTTCTCACTTTGATGGAACTTTCTAATCTAACAGCACATAACCGACTGTTAATGGGGATCCAGTCGACTAGTGCTGCCTCAGCTCTTGCGCTTAGTGCGACACCAACGCCAGCAAGACCAGACGAAGATGCCACAGGGTCCCCGGATAAACGGACATAAAACAAGCTTTTTGAAGTGACAGATGGAGAGCGAACTTGTAGTACTTCACCAGAGTCTTGAATACGGGTCTCGGATAGACAACACACATCAATATTAAGACTTTCCAAAGACATAGCCAGTCCTATCTGTTGTCCGACCTGCATAAGTGTGCGAACGTTGAAGGTAGCCAGTTTGAATGGTGCACGCGGTTTCAGAAAAACTGCTTCAGTACTCATGTTCGGTAGTAACATACAATTTTCAACCAGGCAGTGACTCGGGAACGTTTAGATAAAGCTGAATTTTCACCATAGGTGAGCTGCTGTCTAGGTCGAAACGCATATATAAAGTAGGAATAAGAGAGGGTGAATAAATGACGTGGTAGAGTAATAATAATAATAATAATAATAATAATAATAATAATAATAATAATAGTACGAGTTATTTCAATGTTAATCAGATAGAAAGGAATATTTTCCATAAGCAAATTGTTCATCATAGTTTTAGTGAGTGGGCTGGGATACTGCCCGGGTGCCCAGACCGAAGCAGGTGGTTTTCTTAGGGGGCCACACCCCGAGCTTTTGACCTAAAGGTCTAGTCCACAAGGCAGTGGAGCATCGTGAGGAGATGCAGTCCCATGGAAGCCGGTGACCAACGATTGGTTCATACGCCATTTGTTCCCGCAGGATACTGGAGCCCATGTGCACCATAGAATTGGGATCCGGTTATAGCGCCGGACATTCGCTTTTCGTCCTCTCATTTTCGTAAACAACACCCCCGCCACGAGAAGGCAGTGAGTAGGACTTCCCTGGCAGAGGCTGTATACGCGTGGCCATGTGAGAGTATTTCGAGAGGGAGGGCGAACCCTCCCTGCTCTCGGCCATACCAGGGCATTTGGGGGCACACCGGTAAATATCACGTATCGTGATAGATTGCTGTGGAGGATAAGTAACACATTTCCGACTTTCATTATCTCATAAACTGATTTACCACTAATCTCTGTAACACTTTAAGTTTTACCTTAATATTGCTCACTTATTCATTCACAATATATGCGCGAGAAATCCTATCGTCGAATAATTGTTTTTTACATTTGAAGACCAAGTTTCACTCATAAAGTAAAGTAGTTCGAAATGTTGCACAAAGAACTCACCTCCTTGTTGCCAAGATTCAAACAAGCTTTCTGAATCGATACCGAACTGCACTAGAATATCAAACGTGATACCCTTGGTTCATGCATTGGACACGACATATTTTAAACTGTTTGCGATCCTTGATTGAAAAAAAAATTGTTCAAACTTCTTGATCACATCTTAATTTAAAGTCCAAACCGTAGCTGTTTGATTGAAAATGTCACTTGTTCTAGGGCACATGTTTACACTTGGATCATTCTCTAGTTTAAGCAGGACTATTATTCACTCTCAATTCAGGAAATAGAACGTATCAGCAGAACACTGCAGGGAGAAAATAATATTTGTAATATCCTTTCCTATTAGCAATGATACCGTTAATACATCTACTATTGTGAGATTTTGTCTGAAAACTTCATTTTTCTGCGCTAATGTCGTATAACAACTTAAACTGTTGTGACTGACTAAAAATTCTTTTCATTCTAAAGTATTTATAAAGAATTTTGCTTTATTTTGTACCAGAATCATTATATGCTTTATGTTAGCGGGACATAGATTGGATTTAAGCACGCTCAATGCACGATTGCTTTGGCGCACGCTGATTGGCTGATTCTTATCCAATCAGCGCTAGTCGATACATGGAGAAGACTCTAGATTCTTCTTATGTTAAAACTATAAATATACTAACGGTTTTCCTTTTGTGCTTCTTGCTTCTATCTAACCTTGTTATTTGGAATATAATCTCCTTCCTGCTCAACCGTGTTTTGATTTGAGGCCATGTCAAGTGAATCTGTGTCCGAGAATACTAAGCAATAGGAATAGCTGGGTTAAAACCGTAAGAGAGAAATTATAACACTTTATATGAAGTGAATTTTTACACGATCTAATTAGCATCATCATGTTTTATTTAGTTGTTGTTCAGTAATTAATGAAACTTCACATTTCTATTTGTTTATGTTTACTTACAGATAATTGGACTGAAGAGATTAGTAGGAGTACTGGAAAGGTGTATTACTTTAACCGAATGAAATCTGAATCCACTTTCGATTTACCAGAAAGTGAACACTTGTCATTTACGTGAGTACATTGTTTTGAGTACTTTGCTCAGTATTATAACTCAGTGTAATTACAAAGTACCAATTTTTGTATAGTCCGGGTCTTTGAAATACTCTATTTTCATGGGTTTGAACTATTGACAGAATGATTGAAAGTTGCATGCCTTAATTACCTCAATTGTCTCATTTACGTACTGCTCCGATAGTGGTTATAGCGTCAGTTTTTCAACATTTATGTCGCATATGTTTGATTAGCCAGGTATTTATCGTTGTTGTTCACAATTAAAGTGTGACAGAAAAACAAGGAACTTAAATAGGTTTCTTGGTTTTGAAGTATTTTGCTACATAAGTGCTTTTAGACTGTGTTCTCGAAAACTCTGATCCGATTGATGTTGGAAAGAGTCTCCACTCTTCAAATCAAATGGTTTGTATTTAGCCGCTTGTTTATAGCATCCTCAATGGAAGTCTTACTAGTTTGCAAAGATAAACTGGGTTGGTGGCTGCGGAGAGCTCGCTTGCAGGATTTGTAAGAAACTGGTTTGAAACCAATAGTCCATATGAGTTTCGACATTTTGAAGAAACAAATGTAAGAATCTTTTTTTGGTTAACAGATATTACAAGATTGAATCTCCTGTGGTTGCTTCATTGTTTTTTTTAGATTAAACGTTTTTGTCAAAAGTTCTCTTAGTGTCGTCAAAGGAAATCACTTGCTCTGTAATATTAATTTCTCCCTCCTCCTCAGTTTATGGTTATTTCTAGATTAACTGACTAAATAATCAGACTATAACGGAATATCTAGTATCATTTTTATAGATGCTTCTGACCTCTATAAGAACACTAAACCTACTAGTATAGCTTCTTTTACCTTCCGAATTCGTTCATTGTTTTTGAGTTTCGAATATTGCAGTCAGTCAATAAGAATGTACGTACATTCATTCGAGTTGCTATACCACATTAGCACACAGATACAATTGTCGATTCAAATCCCATAGTGGTAGAGGTAGTAAGAGTATAAGCAGTAATCGGAGACATTAGGGTTTGAAGATGTTATTCAAAGAGTACAGTCCAGTGAAATAAATTTGGAAAGAGAAAAAAGGGACATGAAGAAATCAGAAGATTAGGATTTGGGAGAACGCAAATAGTGGATTCACCTGCGTCATCGCAAACGATTTTGAACCATGTCATTCAAGGTCCCTAACCATCGGTTGCTATCGTCTCACGGATCCCAACCAGATAGTCTACATCTATCAACATGACTCAGTCCACTTGTCAGTGACTTCACGGATTTGTGCCATTTTTTGTTCTGGCCGCTTTTAGTTTTCTTCCAACCTACTCGAATATTGCAAAGGTAGATTTTTAGTTTTCAGTTATTTTATTTATTTATTTATTTTAACACAGATATTGGTACAAGGAGGCACCCAATACATATGCGCCACACAAATCTCATTTGATGTGTGTGGGCTGTGATACTGTCCGGGTGTCCAAACAGAAGCAGGTGCTTTTCTTAGGGGACCACACCTCGAGCCTTCGACCTAAAGGTCTGATCCACAAGGCAGTGGGGCATCGTAAGGAGACGCAGCCTCATGGTAGCCGGTGACCAACGATTAGTTCATACTCCATTTGTTCCTTTTGGATACTGGAGCCAGCACATGTGCATCATTGGTTTGGGATCCGGTTAAAGCGCCGGACATTAGCTTTTTGTCCTCTCGTTTTCGTAAACAACACCCGTAGTGAGAGAAAGCAGTGAGTAGAACTTCCTTGGCAGAGGCTATATACGCGTGGCCATGTGAGTGTATTTCGAGAAGCAGAGCAGACTCTCTCCACTCTCGGCCATACCAGGGCATTTGGGGGCAGATTTCAGTCAACTCTTTACTAAACATACTTGTTTTAGATGGTGCAATATTTCTCTACTAATCATCTTGTATTTATCTATCACAAATTATTATTGTTATTATTATTATCATGTCTAATTTCTTCATTCCTTTTTTTATTCTATTCTTCTTTCATGTTAATTCAGTGAAACACATTACACAAAACTACCATGGATAACAGAACAAAAATATTGTCCAAGTGTTACTACTTTACTACAATATTTAGAAAAAATGTCAGATCCTTATTCATAGTTGTTGGGGTGATATACATATTTATTAATTAGTTCAAACTATTGCTTTCAATTACATCCAAGTGCACCCCCCCACACACACACACTCACAAACACTTTTTATATGTTTCTTTTTTTTATTTATTCATGAAGAAAAAAAAAACAATAACCTAATTGTTTGACTCGTTGTATAAAACTTTTCTCTTGGATTCATAAAGTTTGTTTTACCCGCAAAATATTTTCAATGATTTATGAAAGGAGTGAAAGTTGATGATGATGTGGTGGGGGTGTTCCATTTCAACTACAAAGTTGGCGGTTTGAATTATTTTGTTGTTAGGTGATTGAAGTTATGAAACTAGTTATCGACAGTTCTTTTATTTTAAGTAAGATAGATACCATCTTTTACAATGTTTTTAGTTTTGCATTTGGCTTCCTCAAGATTGTCTGTATCATACAGCCTTTTCAAAGTTGATGACAATATCTTTTGTAGAATATCATGAATTCATATGGGATTTAGTTCTTTCTATTCACAAATATAAGTTATATAATATACCCTTGTGGGCTAGGGTAATTTTACATTTCTTTTTAGGAGAACCAGACACCATCTTGACTTTCATGTGACAACCCAAATAGCTCAATCCCGCTTCACAGGAGAATCAGACACCATCCAGCCTTAAACTTTATAACCTGAACAGTACAGCTCAATCCCGCTTCACAGGAGAATCAGACACCGTATAGGCTTTAACGCTACAATCTAAATAGCACAGCTCAATCTTGTGGCACAACCACATAGTTACCAAACACCCTAATCTAATGAGTATAGTTGATCACAAAATATTAAAATGGAATTTTCTCAGGGATCAGTTATCATGAATGATCAGTAAATATGTTTTATATAAAAATTTCAACTTCTCTATGTCCTTATTAGATCAGTTTTGGATATTGGAGTATAATTTCTTCGTCAAATGATTTCTCTACTGAAAATCATTCTGTTATATATACAAGACTGAGTCACAGAATGAATGGAGAATTAATGGATGAGGCTCATTGTCTCATTAAAAAAGAATGAAGATAATTCAGCGTAGAGAATTTTCTTCTCGACTATTTAATCTACCGTAGGTCTACAATTATATTCGTCGTTAGTTTCACTTGCCCCCAAATGCCCTGGTACGGCTGAGAGTGGGGAGAGTCAGCTCCCCCTCTCGAAATGCTCTCACATAGTGACGTACATACAACTACTGCCAGGGAAGTCCTACTCATTGCTTTCCCGAGGCGTGGGTGTTGTCTACGAAATTGAGAGAAGGAAAGCGGGTTGAAGAATATGGAGGATCCACCTAGGGGAGTTGAAAAATCCTGATTCCAAACTAATGGTGCACATGGGCTCCAGGACCCTGAAGGAACAAATGGCGTATGAACCAATGCTCGGTCACTGGATACCATGAGACTACATCTTCTTACGTTGCTCTACTGTCTTGTGGACTAGACCTTCAGGTCGAAGGCTTCGGTTGTGGCCACCTAAGAAGATCACCTGTTTCGGAATAGGCACCCGGGCAGTATCTCAGCCTTCACAGAAATCGAATGTTTTATGTGGCGCATAGCTGTTTGGTGCCTCCTTGTACTGCTGTTTGTGTGTTTAAACAAATAAATCACTTGCTAAAATAGTAAAAAGAGGATTTTGAATAATTAAACATTCTTGAAGTGTTATCATGAATTGTTTTGCGAAAATCAAATATTGAAAGGAAATTATTTAATAATCGGTTGATGAGAACTGCATAGATGATTGGTCCATTTGAAAGCGATTAAGAACAGAATAATTGAAAGTTTTAATGATAGTTGTAAAAAGTAATTGAAAAACAGTAGGAATTTTTCACAGAAAAGTCATAGATTACGGAAAATCGAGCGAAAGTTTACAGCCATGAAAAACATGAGGAACTGAATATATTATCTTCATAAGAAAAGATTAGGCTTGAACTAGTGGATAGTAATAGTCTTTATTTACAGTCCTCTTAAGCCAACACTTCTGACCATAATTTCAAAGGGGGATTCTGGTGAAGCAGAGGGATTAGAATTGAATAGGTGCTCCAAGATTAAACTTTTGACAGACTTCCTCAATCCAGAGATACTTACCGAAAGGGCAGATTGGTCAAACCCGAAGTGGGAGATTATCCTTCTCCTTCACACAAATCATGGACCGACTGTAAAGATAATACAAAGTTTAATCGAATAGAAATGTTCTCTTAGTGATCTCGAAAGTCTTTCAGAATACTACTGTAGTAGCTCCTTTAAATTGAGTTTCCATAAAGAGCGAGTCCTCTTTGGTGCTATGGACGCTGTTTCATATTGTTGTTTTGGCTTCAGATTTTTTTTCAGTAAATCTAGATTGTTATGTTCTATACTTAATTGCGGCGGAATACGATGTACAATTAATGGCACTCGGACGTGTAGAACCCCACAGTGGTAAAATCAGATGTGAAAAGTAGGAGAAGTGATTATTGGGTAAGAATAAAAAATGTACAGAAAAAATATGGGCACTTATAATTATTAGCGTTTGCTATATCATTACAATTAGGTCGATCCGCAAGGAAGTAAGTTATGCTATTGTCTAATCGTAAGATGCTACATTGATATTCTATAAAGCTATATCAGGTTTTCATTGGATGGCATCTTTACATTTCGTTAGAGTCTTTAGAGGTGTGTACTTTTCGAACGCTGTCCAAATATGGATATTCATTATTCATCTAAATTTGCTACAATTGATCAATTTCGATATACATAGCATCTTCGGTAAAATTTCGTCTAGCCCTCTTGCAGAGAGTATGGATCAAGTGTCTCTTTTGCTTCAATTTTCAATGCTGGGTCCCATCGACAACAATCAGTCAGTTTGTGAATAGTGTTATTTATCGACTGATTATCTTTTATATACACTTGTCATCACAGAGCAGTTACTCACATCTAAAGAAGATTGGTCTTGTAAATATGAGAATGCATGGATTTTTGGAATTATCTGTTTATGTAGACATGGGATATTCACTTCATTGTAAAGACTTTCTAAAATGATACAAAGTTATATTTCATTGTTCCTATACATTAAAGACTTACGCCTGTTACTCCTCGTGAAGGAGCATAGGCCGCCTACTAGCACTCTTCATCTAAACTTGTTCCAAGCAATCCTTTCCAGTTGTTATTCATCCTTTTCACATCTTATATTTCTTGATGTAATGTGTTCTTTGGTTTTCCACTTCCCTTCAGGGTTCCAAATTAGGGATGGCCTCGTGATGCAGTTTGGTGATTTGCGTAATGTATGTTCTATCAGTTTATTAGAAGTTTAGAACATTTGCTTTTAGTTTGATAGCGAAATGAAAGTTATTTGTCGTTTGTGGCGTTACGTTAACGGAATACTCTGCGGACACGAGATTATACGATCACCGAATTGGATCGCATGATATACATAGATACAATATCTGACTGACAATAGAGAACCAGGTTGTAAGTTTACGATAACACATTACAAACTGTCTTTAGTTAATGAATCAAGGAGTAGAAATCGTTAATAGAAAGGAATTCCCATTATTAATAGTTTTTCAACGTTTAACAACGCTGAGTGTCTATTTCACCATGTTCATAGGTCTATTAGATTCTAGTGTCTTATGACATTAGTTTTCCATTAATGTTGTTTTCGCCAAATTGGCCAATGTCTTAAATTTATCATTACTTCATGGGTATTTTCGTATGTTTTCCTAACTATCGACAAATACATATACTTTTAATCGGCTATCTTGTAGGATGGGTATTCGCCGGGTAGTTTAATATATAGAATGGTCAATCCAATTATCCTATAAGAGGTTCGTGAAAATCAAAAGTTTCACTAACTAGGTCCATCCACCTAAGCTATTTTATTATTGCCTTTCGAAGCTACTAATTGTCTTCAAATACCAGATTTGTTAATTCGTCAACTCTGATATCGTTTGTAGAAATTCTCAAGTATCAGACAAAATATGGGCATATTATCGATTAATTAAATATGGTATAAATATGTCTAGCCAATCATTCTCAAATTGGTGAGATGGTAACACAATAATTCTAACTTAAACATCCAGACTGATCCATTTAAGCTGTATAACACACTTGAAAATGAAGTGGGTTAACTAAGGAGGTACTAAATGATATGTTCAGTTCATTTATTTCTTTCTTTTACTTTCATATGATGCAGTCGCAAAGGGTACCCAAATCAAGACATGGTACCAGTGTATGATATATACTGACTGGTGATCTCAAACATTCAAGTAATTTTACACTACTTAGTTGGAGTCCACGATGATTGAATATCTTCGGTAACATGAATCAAAATCGATCAATAACCCGGATACATACATGGCTCAGAATCAATCACAATGGCGTCAGCGTATATACTCTCTGCCTTCCCTTAAACTAAGAGAATATAATCGCTTCATATCTTTCTTTCTACGTACTAAATCTTTCTTCCTGTACTCTATCCTTATATGCAATCTATCTTCTATATATTACCACCATTGAATTAACTAATTCTATGAATCTGGTGTTCATCTTGTTGTGCTAATGCGGTATGGCAACTTGGACCGATGCATATATGTGCCTGGTCCCACGTTCTAGCTGACTAAGTGACTGACTGACCTTTATACTAAGTTTCAATACAATTACATATTGCTTGGGTTCGGAATTCCGATCAGCGTTATTTAGCGAGTTAGTTTTCTAGAGGATGGGGTCACTAACCCTCCTCTTTCATCCGGTTTTGGGACCGGCAGTAACCTCAAAGTGGGTTCAAGGCAAGACCTCACTTAGAATCCTCAAGACCAAATGAGAAAGAGGAAGACCAAAGAACGTATTATACCGAGAAATGGAGACAGACAGACATGAGAAGAATGAATAACAATTGGATAGAACTACAAAAAAAGACAGAGTAGGTTGGAGAATTCTGGTTGACGGCCTATGCTCCATTGGGAGTAACAGGCGTAAGTAAGTACATAGTAAGCGTCCAGAATTCTATTATGTTCTTTGTGCCATCTTTTTCTACCATCATAGATCACTATTTAACTTCTACTTTATATATTTTATTAATTTCATCTCTTTTTACTCTGTGGTTTGTAGCAAATTAAATCAACGTACATTGATGCCATCAAATGCAAATGAAGACAACTAGTGTAGCAAAAGCCTCTGCATCAAGGGGCGTCAACATACCAAAGGGGAAAGCCAAGGTCTTCAAATACAACACGGAGAACATCAACCCAATCACTCTTGATGGCGCAACTCTGGAAGATGTAGAATCCTTCACATACCTGGGAAGCATCATCGGTGAGCAAGGAGATTCATATGCAGAATTGACAAAGCAAGGGCCGCATTCCAACAGTTGAAGAACATATGGA